GTAGAAAAATTATGGAAGTTACAAAGGGCATATCAGAATCATTGGAGGTTTCAAAAATGCATTTAGTTCTAAACAAAAAATCTAGGGTTATAAACATGATTTAGTATTTATATCATGATAATAATCATTTACTCAGATTAAATGTAATTTCGTTGTGATAATAATTTTGTCTCGTCGCGTGCTGATATATATACTTACATACTGCTGTAATAAATTTTCTTTTTAGATATAGAGTAACAATAGCAAAAAAATCCGATAATAATTACTAATCTACTAATTACATCAAAAATTTTTTTTTTTGTTTCATCAAATATTAATCAAAGTCAATTTTACTCGGGTTACATATAATATTCTTCGGAAAAGAGTAAAACATTAGTATGTTTATTTCAAAAAAGAACCTATATCTAAAGTTCGTTAAGTTGTAGTACCGTTTATTATCCGGAGGACTATATATGTCTACTATGAAAAATGACCAATCACGTGAATTTCTCGTCTCCTCACGTGACGTTATACAATGAAATCGCAAATTTTAGTTTTACCTCCGGGCAATTAATTATTAGGTTAAATTCTACTTAATATAAATTTTTCACATGAACATCTACAATTGAGAAATGAAGTAATAACAAAGGATAAATGGAATCATAATCATAATGGAAATAATGATTAAGGAGATGAAGAGGAGAATGATGACGAAAATTAGGGAACACAAGTACAGTAACCGTACAGGGGTTACGGTACGTTTTGCCGAAAGCCATTTCGCCGAAACCCACTTTGCCGAAGCCATTTCGCCGAAGGTATATTTCGCCGAAGGGATGTTTCGCCGAAGAGACGTTTCGCCGAAGGGATGTTTCACCGAAGCTATTTCGCCGAATCATCCATTTCGCCGAAAGACATTTCGCCGAAAATGAGAAATATCAATTTTATAAAATTATTAAATCGTGTAATCATAAAAATAAAATTTTTTTTTTATTTATTTATTAATCTCATCATGAACCTTAATTCGTAATTCATGTAAGATTATATGATGGTTTTACAATACTGTGAAGATGGAAATTTGAGAAATTACTATATATATGAATAAAAAATTAGATTATTATTCAAAAATTGATAAATTACAACAAATTGCAAGTGGACTTCTGGATATTCATAATTCTGGAAAAGTAATTGTTAATTATGTTAATTAACAAAATTTTAGTAAAAATGTCTTGCGATTTCTTATTAATAAAGTGTGAACCAGAAGGCTCAAAATTTATATTTATATACAATTTAACATATATTAATGATATAAAAAAATAAAAATTATTCCTATTTTAAGGCTAACAGTTTATTTTGTAAAAAAAAATTTCTAAATTTTTTAAATTTTTCCAATTATCAACTTTTAAGAATTATTTGTGAAATTGTAGGATTTACAAATGTTGCAATTAATACTACCTATGTAAGAAACGAAGATTTCCCAAGGTTTCGGCAAAACGTCCTTTCGGCGAAATGGCTTCGGCGAAATGGCTTTCGGCAAAATGTCCTGATACCCAAGTGGTGATAGATATAAGCGATATGAAAGGAGGTTTTCTATAATAAATTATTTATTATTTATTAAAGGTACTAAAAATTTCAAACAAATTCGAATCGTAGCATAATAATCAGCGTTAAGATGGGTTAAAAGAATTGGAAAATATTTTTCTTTTTAATCTAGGCCAATTTTTTCTTACCATAATTTACTAATGATTTTAGTAAAAGCCGAATAAATATTTTGTTTTTTTTTTACACTAAGGTCGGATAATACGCAATACGAATTTATACAAATAATAATCAAATTGTATCTCTAATCGATCTATACGAAATTATGGTGATTGATCATTTCTTGGCAAATCACTATCATTATAATTATTATAATTTTGATTGTTTGCAGTTTGTGTTATCATTCATGATTTCCAACGTCATTATGAAGTTTTTATTTCAAGCTTTGTTTAAGATTGAACTTTTGGGCTAAAGACAATAATTTTATATTTTACACACTTCACTTGGATGCTGGTAAAGAAATTCATGAACATAATGATTATAATCATTAAAAGAATCTTGAAAATGACGAATTGCTAGATAAAAATTGATATCATTTGGTAAAAAGTAGTAAAACTTTAAATGATTTAAAACTTGTAAAATTTGCTGGTATTGCATAGTATGTGTTGCTACATCAAAAGTAGCAAAGTTACATCACGTATTAGACATATCAGTCATATTCCCATGGGACGTCTGTCGCGTTATATGAAATAAATCATTCAATTTATATACTGTATATACACCATACTCTAAATCACTTTTAATTTATAATTATAATTTATCGTGAATTTATCGCTTTTATCGCTTTTATCAAAATAGTATGAACTCCTGCGTAGCGCATATCACCCCAGTTCTTTTCAAATTTTGAGATCCCCGGAGATTTTCCTGCATTAATAGGCAATTTCCGGGGATTCTTGCAGAAATCTCAATTATTTAAGTAGATTTCTTATAAAAAAAGCGTTACACAAATCTTTCATAGAAGAACAATTTCTCCAGAATTCGCTTAATTTTATCTAATAATGCAGGAAATCTCGGGGGACCAAAATCATTTCTTTTTTTTAGGGGTGATACGCATTCATATAGATAACTAACTTCTAACTAAAATAGCATGAGAAATATTTCTCTTAAAATAATGAATAATAGTAATTAGGTAAGTGGGCGAGCGCATGATATTTTAATAAATGTACTATGCGTTCATCACACTTCAATTAAGCATCAAATCTTGTGCTCTGCGCGTGTATAAGTATACTGATTGGATGAGTCATCAGACCCAGTTTGTTGATCAATTCGGCCAACAGCTCCAGGAAATGATCAAAAAGATCTAGATCAAATTAATGTAAAAAAGACAATTCGTTCTTTATTGTAAAATATAGTGGATAGACATGTTACATTGCTACATGTTACTCCAGTTTGATCAGCACGTTAAATATTTTTTTTTATAAGCAAAAATATGATCAGAATAACATCATTTCGCTTTAAACACGTAAAGTAGATGTGAATTAATAAGCTACTTAAGTTGTTACATAAAATGAATGACTATTCTGTTATTTATAAAATTATTCGAAATACAAAGAACGTTTCGTCAAAACTTGTATGAATATTTATCACGAATATTCACATGAAAAATATGTTGCAAAAAAAAATATAAATCCATATTATTTCACATGAATTTATCTTTCGATAATTTTGTTAAGATGTACATCGACTTGTGATTACTGAAAGATAGTCTTATGAAATTACTTAATTTCGGTAATGGCTGTAGTGCCTCTACTCTAAAAAACTACTTCAGTATATTTGTTAATGAACAAAAAAATTATCTAAACTTTTTTTTTTTTTTGTAAAATACAATATGATTAAATTTATTCTATTGTTAAAACATTTATTTAAACCGATAATCTAGCGCGTTCGCGCTCTCTTCATAAAATATCATCATTATTTTTTTTTTTTTCCAAAAAAAAAATTTTTGGGATATTCTGTCCCTTTCACTAAACCGATCTCCGGATTTCTCCGGATCCCGGAAGAAATGACTGATAAATGGAAAATGAAAAGAATAGCGTAACATGATGAAGTTTTGAATTGATATATATTCAACTAAATGCTTTTCAACTCAATTTTACGCGATATACTGGATGAATTTGAAAATTCATATTCGTATCCTGACGAATCTTTGTTTTGAGAAGTATTATAGGAATGTGATATAGCTCATTTGTTGTGAATGGTCTTAACTTTATTCATGAACGAGATCTAATCGAAGATATTGGATTACATGGACCTGGTGATAAACAATTATCTCGAAAATAAATAAGTTGATCATAGCTTTGTATAAGAAATCAAATTATCAATACTGGTTTATTTTATTGTAATTCAAAGATCTGCTCGGGATCAAGATCAAGTATTGTCGATGAAACTCATCTGTTTTTGTCACATTAATGCTATTATGTGTTAATCCACTTGCAGACCATCATTACAAACATGATTCATCTGAATTTAATTTAACGAATTCAATGTAAAATACTCGAAGTGATATTTCTTTCTTGAAGATTGTTAGTAATATTAATGGATTTAATTCTTTGTCTATTTGTTTCCTTTACTAAATCCGTCGACTCATTACACACTATTTGATATTGATTTACAAGGATTATAACATAATTACATAATTAACAAAGAAACAAAGCAAATAGTAGAATTAAGAAAAAAAAATTTGCCTGCATGATCTTCATCTTCTATTTCGTATTTTACCACGTAATATCGTTCGTTGCTTGGTAGATTTCAACATGATAATATTGATCTAACGAAAACAGGTGGAGTTCCACTGACAACACTCGCCCTTAATCTTGAGTAGAATTTCTAGGTCTATAGGTCTATATATACTGTAAATAATTTTTACTTAGATTGTTGTATAAATAAAACGACCTTTCATTGAAATTAATAAACGTATTGTAATAATAAAGTGTCCTTTTTTTCTCTCAAGAATTTTTTTTTATAAATCATTCGTACATAATCTTAAGTTCGTAATATACATGATGCCCTCTGGTAAATTCCTTTAAAATGGTCAATAATTAATCATCGTCCTTCTTATGAAAGATCATACGTTTGTGTCGTTAATAAATTTACGATTCTCCGTTCATAAGTATTTACTTAGTAGCGAGCTTCCGAGCTTTGGTTTTCAGTGATACGAGTATCAACATCAACTACATATCCCTTCCTTAAATTTAATTTTTTCTTGGCTAGCTAGCAAACTCGATCTATCTTAAAATAAGTGGATTAAGTATCTTGAAAAAAGTACATGATGGTTAATTATATCTCGTTATTTTTAATTTATTGATAAGAAACTTTTCATCACCTGTATATATAAAAGAATAAAAGTAAATGAAAATTTTCAAATTTTTATTTTTTCTCTAATTAAATATTAATGGAATAAAACCATTTTATTTTGTTTTTTTTTTCTATAAAATATTATTCTATCTTTTTTTGTAATACAATACATTTTAATTTTTTTAAATTAATTAATTCTTTTTTTTTTAAAAAAAAAAAAAATACTACCTAATTACTAAAAATAAATAACCCTGATAACCCGGCCGTAGTGGGTTTCATCTCATCAATTTTTAATTTACATTCATAATTTTCGCTATGCCAATATGACATAACATGAATAATTCCATAATAATGATTTAATGCTGCTGTTACAACAAAGAAATGAAAAATTTGATGAGATGATCCCTAAAAAAAAAATAAAAAATAAAAATAGGCATAAATTATTAATCACTTGTAAAAAAAATAAACGATTAAATTCAATAAATAATACTAACCCATATGTCAAATGTTCCAGGAAACAATCTTTCAGGTATTCTAATAAAAAGAATTGAGATTTTTAATGAAAAATCTTTATTTAAATTCTTTGATAAAAAAATTATTCACATACCTTGCACCGTAAATTAATGCACCAACAACGTATAGTACGCCTGTTATCAATAACGACTTAAGAGCAATAACATCAAAACTTAAATGAACCTACAAGAATAATTCATAAAACGTAAATATTTTTGCAAATCCACAAAGTTAATAAATCAAAAACATATAATATATAATTATTCACCCCATATAATATAATGGCATGCAGGACTGGGAAAAATGTACTTCCGCCTAATGCGATAAATAACCCGGTCCTAAACCACCTAAATTCTGGTTTTCTAAACCTAAGAGCAACTGCTACAGAAATCTATATGATAATACAAATATAATTTTAGAAGAATTTTTTATACCATACTAATAAACATACACATTCACACATATATGCAAAGTACATACCGTTGCAGTTCCAAATATAAATATCATTGAAAAGTAAACGATTTTCCAGATTTTATGACAATAAAATCCTAGATTTTTTTTTAAAAGAAAATCATTTAATCTAAAGATAAGGAAATAAAATAAGAATATTAAAACAAGAACGTACCATAATATATTATTGGGCAAATAGATCCACTAAAAAATAAAATATACTTGTTATTAACATAAAAATTCTGAGTCAACCATTTTTAAAGACTTTAAACGAATCTTGACTTACAAAATCAAGGCAACAATACCAACATAATCGCATCTATTCCAATTCGCACAAACCTATGAGAAACAAAAAAATTCTATTTTTAATATTAACTTATTGAATAATTATTAGTGAATGTGAGCAAACATTACCTTTTCCGAATGGCAACAAAGGGTATGAAAAGCTGACGACAATCCGAGACAAATCATTGCGCCAGCCATAAAACAATAAAATGCAATTAAATCCACCTGATTCAAAGTTGTATAATTTACAAAATAAAAATATGTAGCGAATGAATAGGTAGCAAAAAGCAATGCACCAATAAGGTGAGACCAAATATTAACTTGATTAAAAACGCAAGAAATGAAATTTAGTATGTTTCTTTAGCAATAAGTCAACACTCGAGTTTTAACTTCGACTTACCACTTTCATTGTGAAGATAAAATAAGGATTGTGCACACTTTAAATACGAAAATGTTGGACGACGATAACCTCGAATGATATCTTTATTATCTTGTAACCAACTGGGAAGTTCCCAAAAAGTACAAGTTAAAGAAACCTTGGTATTTGTAACCCAAGTTTTTGGAAAGAATAATGATTCGTTTGGATCAAATTCGTCATCAGATTTTTCGGGATCAAGGTTAGCTACCAAAGAAACTATTTCTTCGGCAAAATTTTTTTCGGGTAAAGGATGGTTGGTTGATGATAATTTACGTTGGGAAAGCGGCATTTTTTGAGTTAAAGGTGATTAGTCGAATCGGTAAAGAAAAACGAAATGTCCTTTATAAATATATCTTATTATTTATTTATTTATAAAAAAAATTATTTTTTTTTAACAAACTTGTCGATTCCTAAGTAAAATTAATATGCAATGCAATAAATACGTTAGTTAGAAAAATAATTTATAATCAAATGCAAATAATTTGTTTTGCATAAAACATGCATATTTCTGAGTGTTTCATTGTATAAAGAAATTTTTTTATTAAAAATACCTTAAAAAACCGTAAGGACAAAAAAAAAGAAAGTTTGGAATTCGACAAGGAGAGGAGAACAAGTCTACCAACCCTCAAAAAAAGGTTCGAGTTTCGGAGTAATTTCCATTTTACTTTATATAGATGAATTTTATCGTATAAATTTAGTTAAGACGATCATTCTATTAAAAATCGATAAACTGATAACATCCTAATTTTGCCGATGTAAGACAAACGTACCACATGTTATTGTTGTTGAAATCTATTCGTCGCGTGAATGTGAAATTCACGCAGCGCCTCAGCCTATCATGATAATCGCAATAATAATTATAAATAGCAGATTATCATTGAACTGAAAAAAACTAGACCTTCTCCTGAAATACCTAAGGAAGTTTTTGAATATCTTAATAATGGTATAAAATATCTATATTCATTCTTATTTGTAAGGGTGGTCTTATATTTGGTGTCCGAGTCTTATGGAAAATTTCAATTGAACTGGAACTTGATGTCCACAAAAAAAAAATGGATTTTGATTGATAGATTATTATTTTTCTTCGAAGAACAATAATGGATTAAGAGAATTGAGTACATATTATAATTAATTAGATATTGTAGTTGGCCAGTGAGTGCTACGTAAAATTAAAGATAAAATAAGTATTGGTTCGTTATAAAAGTGTGCGGTAATTTAACTCATTTAAACTTCAATTGATGAACAATCGACTTCATCAGATCTGATTTAAAAGAAAAAATCTAAAAGGTGTTAAAGGAATAATTAATATAAAAGTGTTAGTTGATGATGATGATTTATATAAAGGAAATATCAAGTTGCTCGCAAAACTCTGCAAGAAAATAAAAATTCTTGAAATTGATTGTGGACGAGGGTTATGCTAACAGGCTAAATGATGTTCAAAAAGGATTAGAATGTCTTAATGTTAAAAAAGCCTGGAAGTCCATTATAATAGTTCTTAAAGAACAGGCGAGAACGTTAACTTGTGTAACTTTATCAGAGAGAGAAGATGTAAAACTTCATCACTTGGTATATTAGGAGTGCTAACGAATTTAAATTTATTAGAATTTACCGAATGGAATCTTGAATATCCTTCCAGGAAGATTATAGGGAAGATCCCAATCGACGAGATCAAGCTTCTGCATCAGAATTAGCCGAGAAGGTATTTCCAAAATTGAGAAGTTTGTTTTTTGGTAACTCTGGGATCATCGCAAAAAATTTGATCAAATGATAGAAAATAATGGGAAAAGTCGAGGGAATTATGTATTAGCTGTCATGCATTTGAAAAGGAGGATTATTTGCAAAAGCTCCCATAACAATTTATGCAAATTGACCAGATCTTAAATCGTTTGAAATTTGAATTATTAGGCGGGTATTTTTCACTTACATGTAAAAGATCGATCAATGAGTAATATGGTGATAGAATTTTAAATAGCTTTTAACGCTGTTTCAATTATAGACAAAATCACAAAAAATAAAATATCTAATCGAATGAAATAGAACCTGTGCTATAGTATAAAAATTATAAAATAAAAGCGAGTTTATTGTCTAATATCAAAAAGAGATTTTTTTATAAAAATTCCAATTTTCTATTACTTTTTTTATTTATTTTCTAATGTACCTAATGGCCTACCATATTTGTAGAGTATTTTGTCATTTACGATTCAATTTTTTGAAATTTAAAAATACCTTTAATAAATAACCGTTCTAATGATTCGATCCTTCATTATCTCATTTATCCTTTGTTACTTTATATTCAATTGTAAACGTTCAGCTAACTCCTGTGAAAAATTATAATTATCTCCTGATCGCCACCGTTTACACAACTAACCACCCCTTAAAAAAAGAAAATTGACATTGATCACCGGAGATTTTCCTGCATTATTAGATAAAAATAATTATTATTAATTGTTCTATGAAAGGTTTGTGTAATGCTTTTTTTATAAGGAATCTACTTAAGTAATTGAGATTTCTGCAAGAATTCTCCGGAAATCGCTAATAAGCAGCCTATTGATGTAGGAAATCGGGAATGAAAAACTGACTTTTTTACCTCCCTTTCTTCCTCTCTCTTTCTCTCTACTTTCCCTTCCCTTTATTCCCTCTCTCTCTTTTTCGCTCTTCTCGCTCTTCTTTTCTTCCTTTTGTTCCCACTCTCGCTTCCTCTTCTCCCTTTTTCACTTCCCTTATCCTTTCTCTCCCTCCTTTTCTCCTTTCCTACTTCTCTCCCTAATACTCATTTATTATATTCTTTTTTTGTCATCACGCTTAACTATCTAAAGAAATATGTAGATGTAAACATTTCCCTTATTTTTGGTACGTTGGAGAAGCATGATGCTATGCATGGGCAGGAGCATAGTATACTTACCTTGTAAGCCTGTGGGTACCAGCTTTGTTGCAGTCTCATAGTGGAACTGGTTGGTAATTTTTTTTTTGGTGCCCTGTAAAAATGTTGATCCGTGTTTATATTTCCATGTTTTTTCCGTGAATGTATCATTTTCATGGAATTTACAGCCTTAAATCATGGAAATTTTCAACGGATATCCGTGAATGTATCATTTTCACGGAATTTTTACGAAAGCTACGGAGAAATATGGAAATATTCGGATAAAAATTTTTTATAGGGCTATACGAGGGTTGGAGCATATAGTGTAGCTCGTGAATACTAGTTATTGCTGCGGGTTGGTGTGGAACGATGAATAATAAAAGTTTCTACAGGGTGCACTTCTTAGGAAGTCCCTTTGTGATAGCTAGGACCGGAATACTTTGTAATTAACATATTAATGACAAAAAAACAAAATAATGAAACTTTATTCTAAGGATTAAGCGAATTGTTTGTAATGTTACACATACTGACACTGATTATTCGAATTTTTTTAGTGGCACATATTTAATATAACTTATTTGTAAGACCCTATAGGACCGAGAATCTACAGTATGTAGCACTAAAAGATAATGTCGCGGTAAACTTGAGAATATGTGGACGTCCCGAATATCATTTGGACATTCTCACTTTTAATTATTGTACATAAGAAAAAAATATGATTATTCTGAAGTATTTTTCGGTTTATTCTCTTTATTCAATCTATTCAACACAATCCAAAAAAGAAAATTTATATTATAAATTTGGCGATTTTACATATTTGTTGATTTACATTTGGTATCCAAAAAAATAATCGACGACCTACTTGTTTAACAATCTAACAAGGAATAATAAAGAAGTCACCGGTCACCATTCTAAAAACTTTTTTCATTTAATAACTCAATCTTGTATAATATCATATTATTATGTTTTAAATGACCAATAATGACCAAATGTTATCACTACCGGTCATATGTTATATAGATGAAATATCCCGATGAAAGTTTGTTTATATTATCGTGACATCAGGTGAGTGTATCGTAGCAATCGTACTCATATAAATGATTATAAACTTTTTAAGCTTGAAAATATTTCAATCTAAACCTTTTTAAATTTGGCGGAAAAAGAATTTTTGATAGGACGAATAGATTTCTTAAAAATCCCAGTGTCACAAATGCTTTCCCCAACCCTTCCTATTTAGATGGTACAACGGTATCACTCACGTGGAATTTTTTATCCAAAAAAATACTAAGTAATTTCATAAATGGCATATTTTTTTCGGATTATAATTGTGTGACTTCCAGAATTGTAATTTAAATGGCATTTATATAATAAATTCGTAAATTATTCATCGTATCATTATCGTAGAAGTGGCGCTTGTCAAAAAAAAAAAGAAGTGGAAATTTTACGAATTTTACTTTTTTGAAAATAATGATCACCAAAATTAAACCTTAATTAGTATAGTTGAAATCTAGAATGATAATCTGTGTTTTTCTTATTTTCTAGACTTCATGTTTTTATTGATTATGTAATTTATATCTTAACGGTTACTCCCTATTTTTCTTAATAAATACATATCAGATTTCATTATTAAACACTTAATTTTTTTTATTATATAACAGATAATATAAGTTACAATAAACTTTACCCGTACATCGTTCCATATCCTTCGATTATTTTTCTCTAATTATTTTTCTAATTCTTCATATTTTTTTTTTGTATTGTTTCTTATTATGTTTTCTTTTTTAAAATTCCTTGAGTTAACTAAGCCCAGTTAGTTAATATTCACCCATTTTTGTTCATATTGTACGTAAATTTAGGTTATTTTCCATGTAAATCTTGGTTTACTAAAAATTATTTAATAGAAATTTCTGGCGTGATGGTAAGACAAAAATGAACGAATCAAAAGAAATTACTTTCATAACTTACCAAATTAGAAATTAATGATTTTCAGGTTAACTTATTCATTTGTCACACGTAACTCCCATTTTTTCATGTATCACGTAGTATAGTTGACAATCTAATATATATATAAAGGTTAGTAATTTTACTTTATTTTTTTTTTTCATGAGAATTTTATTCACCTGCTAATTATTTTTTTCTTTTTCAATTTCTTAAATGGCTTGAAAACAAGCGAGAACTAACAAAGACAATCGTTAATTCTAAATGCCGGCTTGCAATTATCATAATCCTCTAATTTTGTTAAGTATTTTTAAAATACTTAAAAATGTGAAATTCCTGACGAAATTAGTTAGATGGAGATTTGTTTTTCGTCAAAATCGGTTAATTCTTCCTTTATTTATTCAACTTGCTGTACTGATGAGAATCGGATTTACGAGAGAGCTTGCTTTTGCTTTATTTCACGCTCTTACTTCTGAAGAAATGTACCTTGATAAAACATTATCTTCTCAATTAAATCCCGACGATATTAAAGTTATTAGTAACGAAAATACAAATACAGAAGAAATTTATGAATATCCTAAAGGTGACTCGTGCAAAGTTTGTAAAAAGAAGTATGAATCCACTTTTAATTGGTGTGTTGTATGTGATATAAAACGACTTCAAGATGATTTTCCAAATTGGAGTAGCGGACATCAAGAATTAGATAAGATTATAAGGAAAAATCAATTAAATGCTGATAGTCATACGAATTATATTGAATGGATCCCTTACGAAAAATTTACAGATATTAAGAAAATTAGTGAAGGTGGATTCGGAATTGTATATTCTGCCACATGGATTGAAGGTCCAAGATGGAAATGGGATGATGAGAAAATGCAATGGGTTGCTTATGGTCCAAGAAAGATTGCGCTTAAAACTCTTAAGTGTGATATTATCACTAAAAGACGTGAAGAATTCTTCAAAGAAGTATGAATAAAATTTATTTAATATTAAAATAAAAAGTTAATTTTTGTTAACTTTATCAATAAAAAAATTTTTAGGTTGAGTATCATTCAATTTGCGTTGGTATAAAGAGAATAGTTCATTGCTTTGGTGTCACTCGCAATCCGGATACGGGAAATTATATGATGGTTACTAACTTTGCAAATGAAGGTAACTTATCCCGATTTAAAGTGATCTATATATTGCATCAATTTGATTCGAACTTTTCTTTCATCTCCAGGTGATTTGGCTTCTTATATTAAAAAGCATCAACAAGAATTGACATGGGAACGTATCCTTCGTTTATCCCGTGATATCGCTAAAGCTCTTAGAGAACTCCATAGAAAAGTAAGTTTTAGATAAATTGTAAAGATATTGTTCATTATTTTTAACTGCTAAATTTACCAATGAGCATTTTATTTTATTTTTGCTAGGAGCTTATTCATTGTGACCTTCATAGTGGTAATATCCTGAATCACGTGACATGTTATGGAATCACATGGACTTGGATTGCGGACTTAGGATTATGTTTGAAAGAGGAAGCAAGTCAAACGAGGAATCAAGTTTACGGAAGATTCGAATATATTGCACCTGAAGTGCATCGACAAAAATTATATTCAAAAGCTGCAGATGTATATTCTTTTGGAATTATACTTTGGGAATTAACATCTTGTCGTACACCATTCTCTGACATGATACGAGATATAGCTCTTGAACTTGAAATTATTAAAGGAAAGAGACCAAATATAGTTGAAGGTACACCACCAGCCTTTGCTAAACTTATGCAAGATTGCTGGCACGAAGATCCGAATTTACGGCCTAATATGGAAGATGTATATAAAAGAATTTGGAGTTTTTCAAATTCAATAATTAAAGGAAATCGTAAAGATAGATATGGATTTAAGGCTGCAGAAGAGGACAGATCTTTTAGATTACAATCTATGACAAAACAAATAAATCCGAAATTTACCTATGGTCGAATTTTATCTGGTAAATTTTCGAAAACTTTGTAGAAGAGTTTTTCAGGAAAATAATAAATTCATTAATATTTTTATATATTTAATTTTCTAGATGTTAACTATTTAAGTACAAAGATTATAATTTGTAAGCAAAAATTATAAAATAAAAATAAGGTTAAATAATAAATTATTAAAATATTAATCGTATGTCTTTAATTGCGATTCCTTATAGATACTCCAATACCATCAACGATTAGAAGTATTATGGACAGTTGTTGTATTAAGGATTCAACCAATAATATCAAGAAGGAAAGCAAAGCAACAGAAAATCAGAAATTGCTGTTTAAGGTTAACTCAGGACGTGGAATGGAAATAGTTGTAGGAAGTAGTAGTATTTTGAGTTTACCGCCTATAATTATTCATAGTCAGCTTTTTGATTAACTTTGTAAATATATTATATAAATTATATTAACATATCATAATTGGTAAGTAAAATTATAAAATATAAATTGCTGGCAATTTAAATTCAATATTACCAATTATATTGTAAATGATTGTTATATTCACAGATCTTAAATATTCAAATAAATTATGTTAAGGTTTTATATATTAGTTTCTATAATTAAAAAGTTTTGGCCATGCAACTCTGGCAACTCTGGAGAAAAATTTTCCTTACTCAAATATGATCACTTTCTCTATAGCGAATTTTTATATAGTGAATAACTTGCTATAATGAAGAAAAGTTCAGGTACAGATTTTTTTTATATATAATAAAATGATCCCCAGTATAGTGAATTTCTCATTATAACGAATTTTAATCTTCAGCCCATGAGATTCACCATAGCGAGGGTGAACTGTAGAGAGGGAGAATTTGCGAAACATTCAGCTTATAACTTTTTTTTATTCTTTTACTTTATATTATTAACATAAATGTCAATGATTTAGTAAGAATATACATGAATATAAAGAAAATCAGAAATCGTGTCGTTACACCACGTTATCAATGTTAATACTTAATCAGTTAATGGATTTATTAGTGCGGTGACATATATGACATATTACGTAACGTCAGTTTAATAGACATGTAGCTAGTGACAAAAATCTTACGTTACACATATAATAAATCATGTCATGTGATCTAAAATTGTTATTTTAATTGGTCTATCATAATTATTGTTGATCATATGGACGGTCACGTTTTAAATTTTAATTCGTCCTCAAATAAAAAAGTTAATTTTCAAACCAGTTTCAATCCAGGTTTTAGCTTCTGGTTAGACATAAATTTGAGCATTGAACAGTTAATCGGTAGTTAACCTATTTACACATCCCTAATTAGGATTATCTCAGGGTTCAGAAATTTCATCGGAACTACGATTATACACATTTTAATTATTTTGTTTACGTTATGAAGTTCTATGAATAGAACATTTTAGATGTTTCTAGTAGGTTTAGTTTCACAATTCGGAAATTGCCGATATATCATTTTTAATTTGTATTTCATGGATTAAGAAGTTCAAACAAATTCTTTTTTTTTTTTTATTTTTTTTGCGTTTACTCTCAAAAGTAGATATTGTTTAAAATCTAATCACGTGCAACGTATAAACACGGTTATTTTGTTAGTCTATTATTCAATTAAAAAATATTTTTATGGGAGTCCTAGATATTGGTTTACAGTTCATTTGATTGTAATTATTTTAATTGAATATATATTTAAAATTTGTATGTATATTTAATAATATTCAAAAACTTAAAGCAATCTTAGTAAAAATATTAATAAAAAAAAAAAGTGAATAAGGATTTCTTGTTAAACTAATAAAATAATAAAATTTGTTAAAGCTTAATTGAATTTTGTGTTAAAATTTTAGAAATTCATAATTAGTTATATAACAACACTCGAGAAATATTTACTAGTACATTACGATGAAATTCAGTTTGTGATTCCTCATGTATGATGACAACGAAAAAAAACGTAGTTAAAAAAAGAAATTCGGTTATAATAATCAGCGTTAAAATGGGTTAAAAGAATTGGAAAATATTTTTCTTTTAATCTATGCCAATTTTTTCCTACCATAATTTTACTTAATGATTTTAGCAAAAGCCAATTATATATTGTGCTTATAATACCGACGTAATACGAATTTATATGAAATTATTTTGTTGAAGCTTAAAATTATTGAAATCTTCTTGTTGGCAGTCCATTTGTATCTTGGTGAGTAATATGTTCATTGCTTGAAAAATCACTATCATTATAATTTTGATTGTCTGCCATTGATGAAACGGTTTGTGTTATCATTTCATTATTCCCGACGTCATTTGTGTTTCTATCACAGATCATTCGATAGAAAAGTTTTTGTTTCAAGTTATGTTCAAGATTGAATTTTTGATCTAAAGACAACGGGTTTGTATCAAAATTCATTCCACACACTTCATTATTCAAAATGGTTTCTACTAATGAGTATGAAAGTAATTTACAAGTAACATGATATCTTATAGAGGGATAACTTGGATGCTGGTAAAAAAATTCATGATCATAATGATTATGGTCATTAAAAGTATCTTGTAAAATGATTTTACAAATTACAAGATAAAAATTGACATCATTTGGCGAAAAATAATAAAACTTTAAATAGTTTAATACTTGTTGTTGCATAGTATGCGTTGCTATATCGAAAGTAGTAAAGTTACATGATATATCAGTCATATTTCCATGAGACGTTATTGAAGATTCTTGACTTTGCGTAGTTTGTTGAATTGCGGTAGAAAAATCAAATGATTCATCAGTTTCAATGGAATTATTATAAATAAACGATTGTCGTAAATTTTCATCCATATTATTCATATTGTCTTTATATGAAATAATGAGAACAGTTAATTATATCTCTTAAATATAAATACAGTATTACTACTCGAAGATTTATCTATTAGGCCACACAAATTCAATTTTTCGGTTCACGTAACATTGAAATTTAAAATCGACCCGGGGACCCGGGGTTTATTGTTTATTAGTAAAAAAAGTTTATATATAAAATTGTGACATTTGATTGGTTGACTTTTAAAAGGGAGGAATTTATTTTCGCTCTAGAAGTTCTCAGCCGCGTGATAAACTTACCCGCCAATAAAATTACGTTCTGATCACATGATAAATTTTTTATATATAAACTTTTTTTTATTGAAATTTGAAAAAGTGACCCGGCCGGGTGAAGTGAACCGAAAATTCGAATTTGTGTGGCCTTATGTAAAAATGAAATGGAGAATAAAGAAAAAAAATATTTGTATATATCCTCCAGGATACGATTTTTTGGTTTTATCGTTATATATATAAAAAAGAAAAATTTATAGATATGAATAATTTGAAAAAGAAAAATCATTTCCGGGTGTCATTTGCCTAACCTTATCGATTTTAGTATAAGTTACTACTTATTCATGATAAAGATTGATAATAATTTGAAATTAATCCGACGAATTGCAGTTTGCATTTTCAGATCACTGATCAAAAAAAAAGAAATTATATTATCGTTTTTGTTTTCCTTTTTTTTCAGTCTGCTTTTTTATCATAAGATTTTTAAATTTTGGAATAAACTTTTAAACTTTATTTCTTATATCTCGAGCAAATATCAACCGACAAGCCATTTGGCGTTTTTTTTTATTAAATTAGATATTTATTCTTAATTAGTTGTATTAAAGGAAACTTTTTTGCTGATCTATTTGTGTCACTGCTGCAAAATAGCGGAGGACCTGCCAAAAAACAGCAGATCCCCCGCTGAAGATAGTGGACTTCTGGCATAAAAATATCTGCTCATAGAATACAATAAGTCCTACTTCATATTGTTTTATTAAATAAAATTTCGATAATTATAGGACCAAATAAAAATCTTAAAAAGGTGGAATAAAAAAATCTTAAAAGGTAACATTGCAATGATTATTTAAAGATGTACATTTGTGCATACACATAAGTGCATGAGTTTTGGCGAAAATTTCTGTAATTAGGATAGTCTTAATACACGAAATTACGTAATTACTTCTGAAAATATTTTACATTAAACTACATTAACTACATTAACTTTGAAAAAAACTATCTTTAGGAATAATGCCCATGAAACCATGTGAAATAATAGATTTTTTTAACGTCAAGAATGCCCACGAGGTAATCGCATTTTGATCGCATTTTTTGCATGTGAATATTGAATGAACAAGGTTTTTTAAACAATAACGCAAATAATGATTAATCAATTTCCAAAGATTTCCAAATTCGACTATTTCAATAGTCAAAAATATAAGACTTTCCGAAAATACATGACTAAAATTATTTAAAGTTTCACAGAGTAGATTCGCATCACATTGCAGATAGCAAATGCGATAAGTGAGATATAATATTATAAGCTTTTTTTTCTTTATGATTATCAACTGTTACATTAAAAGCTAGCACGAAAGGCAATACAGTATATTTATTTATTTATTTATTTTTGTTTACACAATACGATTGAGTTCAGATTAATATTTAGAATTTTTGGGGGGAATTTTACATGGCAATTTATCAAAAGAGATGAAAAATTGATATGATAAAGTGAAGTATGTCAAAATTATATGATTAAATTTTCTTGCAGTAGATCAGGCAGGATTCAGGATTGTTCTCTGGAAAATAATTAGCCCTGTAAAAAATGGACAACCTTAAGTCACAAAAAGATTTCGGGAATTCCAGAAAAAGAATTTTATTAATTAAATAGTATTACAGACGTAAAATTCTGAATCAAGCTAAAATTATCACATTCCAATCTATTAATTGCATAATAATTAAAATTAAAGAAATGATTCCAAATTAAATATGTAGAAAGTTTAAACGGGATAACGAAATTTAATTTTATTCTTTTTTACGTTCACCTCGGAAATAAGTCTTGTGGCTACAAAGGCCCGAATTATACATATCACTTGCTATCATCAAAAAAGGGAGGATCTACACGTTATTTGATTAATTTTGGCGCAGTATTATATTTAATTTTTAAATTTACTGCGATCCGAAATGACCTTAAACTATTGGAGAATTTATTTTAGTAATAAGATTCTTTTTCCGGGATGATGTTAACTACTAAGGAATTACTTTCTTATTTTAGTAATGTAGATCACATGTGTACAAAAGGTTATTCTGACAACGAAGCGGTCAGGAAGACCTAAATCCAATTTTTGGGGAAATTTTATTTTATTAATCCATCTGATTTTTAATTTAATTGGTTCTATTATTCTTTTGGAAAGAATTAATTTAATTCGTTCTTCTTATTTTAATTAATTCTATTTGATTTTTATTGGTTCGATTATAATTTTGTTTTCACATAAATAGGTTTTGAATTTATTTACCTAAAATTTAATTTCTTTCCTAAAATTTTTATTTTATTATTATTATTTTGAATTTGGGAAATATATTTTTAACTACTAATTAATACAATTTACCCTTCGCATACCATCCGGTGGCAATGATTTAGCAAATCATGCAACGTAATGGTCCCTACATTGCTTCGATCGAAGTTCTGAGAACTTCGTAACAAAGAAAACGGTGCAGTATATCTCGGATTATCCCGTTACGGAATCATCCAATTGTAAAGTTTCTCTCATGACTCATTGTTACTTACAATAAGATAAAGTTATATTAGATTATAAATTACTAATTACGGTTAAATATTTTTCCAGCCTGTTTTACCAATGCATTACTTTACTGTATTAAAAGTTATAATTAAGCACCCTATTCATATAATTCCGACAAATTCATCATTACTTATATAAGAATCTTGTGTTAGTATATTATGAAATTTAAATTTATAAAATTTATCCTGTTTTTATGGAACTGAATTTAATGTGACTCTCGTATTATTAACAAATATACGAAAACGTAACGGATTATCTTTTTTTTATTTAAATTCCTTTAAATATTTTTGTTTTAGTACCATCTCGATATCATTTCGCTGACCTAAAAAAAGTATTAATTGGAATATTAAAAATACAAGAATTCTAACAAGAACTTCTATCCACTAAAAAGAATAGATATATCAAAGGTATTAAAAATTTATATTTGAACTTTGCATATTTTTCCATTACGCCTACGATGGCACAACCTCATGGGTTCGGTATATTTCACCGAAAATCATTTCACCGAATTTTAATCTTTTACCGTAATTCGATAACATAGCCACAATTATTAATTTAATATTCAATGGTTTTTTATTGTAAAAAAATGGGGAGTCTGGTTCTAGCAATAAGGATTAACAATGGTTAATCATGTTTATTTTTTTTTTTAGATATTTCGTTATTAACGTAATATTTTTTATATTTCATCCNTTTTTTAGATATTTCGTTATTAACGTAATATTTTTTATATTTCATCCATAGGAGTCATTTTATACCTTTTATAGTAGATTAAATTAAACCTTTTAACAATTTAGAATAGAGTGAACCACTCCACCTCTGACAGTATTTACAGGTGGCAACCATTAGGTTTGAAAGAAAAATACGGATCATTTACGTGATTGTTTTATGTATAGTAGTTTTTTACAAATCGTTGTCACAACCTACTACTAGATTATCCTGAACCTTTCTTGTTCTTGTCTATTCAGGCTTGGTCGGAGCCCTGAATAGTTTTTTTCTTTTTTCTTTTTTCTAGTAAGGGTCCGCTCCATATTGATTTGGACAAACTGAAGTTATTCGTTAGAATAGTGATGTGATTTTCATTGTAATTCTCCTTACTATCCATAAAATAAAATAAAATAAATAAATAAATTGTTTATAATGCTATTTTTTTTTGTATTTTTTACTGATATTTTTAGTTGTCAGTGAAATGATCCTGTCGGTGAAATGATCGTCGGTAAAACAACTGTAGGTGAAACGACCCTGTCGGTGAAATGACTGTCGGTAAGTTGATTGTCGGTGAGACGATTTTCGGTGAAATAAATGCGTCCCCAACCTCATACCATTTACTGTATTTGTCATGATTAAGGGATAATAAGATAAATTTTAGAAAACTTACTACTTATTACTGTTATCTGTTATGCGCATGCATATCAGCTTTGTTATTTTTCTTATGGTAAATTTATAGAATTTAATTTATTAGTAGTAGTGTAGTTATTTTAAGGAGTAGTAGTTGTTAGTTATAACGCTATTAAGGTTGATATGTCTTCCGGTAGTCCATCGGATAGGTGGGTGAAAGTTGTTATGGGTCGGCAGTGGGACTTAGATAGCCTCGTAGAGCAATTAAATCTTCCCCCCACAACTATTTAGTAACTAGTTAGCTAGATCTTTATTGTTGTAACTCGCGTTTTTATATCTTTTTTATTATAAAAATTTATGAGTTGAACTTTTAAAAAAAAAACTGCGCATGTGTTACCACCGGTTTTTGGCGTTCGGTCAGGTAACAGAAAGAAATATAAGGATCGGTTAACAAATGACAGGGTAATATGACGTTCATTAGATATCAGGCGTTAAAGCAAATCGGTTAATGCATGTGCAAACAATAAGCAATTGATAAATAAATGATAACGAAGTGAAACGTGTATATATTAATCTGTTTATAATCGGACTTAAATGGTGTATAAGTAATAAAACAATATGTAACAAAAGGTCAATAAAAGATAATAAACACTTTAAAGAAACAAACGAGTTGTAATAAATCGGAAACAAACAGGCGGGTTTATTAACACTTGAACAAAATACGATATTACTGCCTCTATCGGCGCTCTGTGATATCTGTATATCTATCTTTTGAAAATACAACCTACACGAACTGCTCAAAACTACTCCTCACCCATCGGTCCTTTTTAAATCGTTAAAAATCTGGTGCGAATCTGACTATCGAACAGATTTGCCACCCGGCCAATCTCACGCACCTCCCGGCCAAATGTGGCGATTGGTCGTATTTGTCTATTAAGCCACCTTTAATTCCGTCAGCCACTTTCCCACCGCTAAGCTTCCGATTTTATCTAATCGTTAAATAACTAAAAATATCTCTATGTAACATAACTAAAAATAAACTAATAATAAATAATAAATAAAAATAAAAAAAAAAGAAAAAAATATATCCCGTGACTGACACATGCATATCAGATAACCCTGAAGTTTATACTACAAATGATTATATAACATAAATAATATAAATATTTAATATGCCGTTAAAGTTTAGTACGGTTGTGATTAAAATACGTCTAATGGGAATATATAAATTATCAAGACCAAACTGCTGTATCATCATTTAACACCATTTAACATCATATCTATAAAAATTACGCGCATTATTATCTCATCTTAATTATCATCTTGTTATTATTAGTAATATCATGCTAATTATAACTAAACTTTTTAACTATTTAAAATAGTAAAGATTAACAAAGATAATCGAAACTTTAATATATTTTTATTAAAATAATAAAAGCAGGATAGCTCATTAAATATTATCAATGATAACAATATGGGATAAGATAACATTGTCTTTTGAGATATAAACAGATTATGTTAATCTTATTGTATCACAGATAATACGTATATTCCTACAATTAGCTTAGATTGATACTCTTGATAAAAATGAGTAAATTGATATAGTTTTTAGTAAAACGCGGACCTTTTCCATTTTCAGTTAAAAATAGATTTAAATTTTGATTTTTATTCGGCGTGAACGAAAAGTTGTCAAATTAATCTTAATTAAATTTTTGTTGAAGATTCTTAAAAAATTGTGTGGATTACATAATTAATTACATAAAAACGTTCGAAGAGAATTTACCATAAATGTTAATATTAATATTACGATTTAGTTTGTGATTTTGTGATTTTCACGAATGATGACAAAACGAAAAAAGAAACGAATAAAACGAAATTTGGAGGAACAAAGAAAAGGAATTTACATATAACGAACCGGTGTTAAACGGAAATAAAGGTATTTTCGATAAAGGCCAATTTTCTCTTACCGTAATTTTACTAACGACAGTATCTGTATTCATGCAAAAGATGAATGATAACGAATTCGCGATACGATAAACGATCCCCTTTTACATTTTTCCATATAAAAAAGTTCCGAAAAACTTAATGGTCGACAGTAGTATATAGCTTTTTCATGACATGGTAAAATGTTAAAATGTAATTGTTCTAAATTTGAGAATTTAATTTCTTCAGCAATATCAAATTGATTTGATAATTCGGATGGATCAGGATCGTCGCATATTGCTGTGACCCAATTTCCTAAGCATTCGTAAAGTTGAGATGCTGTTGGTCTATTGGATGAATCAGCATCAAATATTGTAACATTAATCTAGCGAAAACAGGTAGAGTTCCGCTAACTATATTTGGTCCGGTTCCTGAACAACTACTCGAATAAAATTAGACAATGATTTTAATATATTTTCCAGTATATAATATTAATATATGGAATGTAATAACGGGCGACTAAAATAAATGGCATTTTCATGACGCAGTATAATATTAAATCTTAATTTATCTCTATTTGCGAATTTAGCTTCTTCTGCGGCATTGAATTGATTTGATAATTCGGATGGATCAGGGTCATCACAAATTGCTATAAACCAATTTCCTAAATATTCGCAAAGCTGTGATGCTGCTGGTCTATTGGATGGATCAGCATCCAAACACTGCAACATTAATTTAGTGAAAATAGGTGGAGTTCCACTGACTATGTTCGGTCTGGTTCCTGAACAAATCTCTTGTATAAGTTGTGAATCATGAGGTCTATCACAATAAGGGCGTACACCAGCTGATAGCATCCACATAATCATACCGAAGCTGTATATATCAGACTCTTTGGTTAGTGTATATCCATTTAAGATTTCGGGAGCAACGAATGGTATTACGCCGTAAATTTGTTTAGAAGATATTTGATTATCAACATGACCGTGTAATCCTGTGTCTGCAATTTTAGTATCTATTGAATCCATTTCGTTCTCAACTAGTATATTCCCTCCGTGCAAATTTCCATGAATGAGATCACGTTCATGAATAAAATTAAGACCAGCTGATATTGCCCATAACATATCTACGATATCTCTCCAGCAAAGGACTCCCATGGATTCGTCAAGATACGAATATAAATTTCCATTTTCATAATATCTCATAACGAACATGTAACACGATGTCAGATCTTTAGTCATGCCAAAATAATCTGCAAGTGATCCACTTTGTAAACATTTATAATATCTATATAACTTTTTGGTTAAACAAATTTTTAGCCCAAATTGTGCCAATTAGATTTACAGTTAAGTTTGACCAATAATAAAAATTTTCAGCCATTTGGCGTTTTTATTTATATACTTACTTGATTTACGAACTCTTGATTTATGTTCTGGGAATTATCAAATCGCTTTAGGATGACTTTAGTTAGACCATTACGAGTCCATACTTCGGTTTCTTCGTCCAAATTCCAACTTGGGCCTTCCATCCATATTGCAGAATAAATTGAGCTAAAAGCACCTCGTTTATTAGTATTCTCAACTAAGTCGAATTGATTAAAATCAATCCACTCAAGGTAGTCCGTACTGTCATTTGCATTTAATTGAGTGTACTGGATGAATTCATCTATCATAGAGTTTCCGCTGGTCCAACTATAAAATTTTCCTTTCAAATTTGAAATATCGCAAATTTTACACCATGCAGTGGAAGTTCGTTGGCTTTTACAATCTGGACAATTTCCATATGATAGAGCTTTATTATTTGCACTATTTATAGCGAAATCCCGAGACCCGGAGGCCGGTTCTGACAAACGCACGACCTCCAGCTTATTTGCTTTTTCTTTTATTTGCTTTTTTGGAAAATTTGCTTTTATTATTTTTTTTTTTTCTCCGAAAAAAAAAATAATAAAAGGGTGGCTCTGGAAGCCGCGACATTCTATCATAAAGCATTTATATTAGATATGTTAGCTGCTTTGCCAGAAAAAAAAAGTTTGATCAATTTAATTAGTTTATTTGAGTACAATAAGTCTGTATTTCATATTGTTTTTTATCGCAGTTTAAATAAGATTTCTATAATTATGACAAATAAATCTAAAGGGTGTATGTAATAATAATAAAAAAAAATCTTTAAAGGTGTAACATTGCAACGAGATTTGCTTCTTGCATGACATATAAGTGCATGAGTACTGGCGAAATTTCTGAAACCTGTAATTGGGATAATCTTAATACATAATGTATAAATGCGAAATTACGTAATTGCCTCTGAAAATATTTTACATTAACTACTTTAACTACGAAAAAACTATCTTTAGGAATAATGCCCATGAAACCATGTGAAATAGCAACATTTTTTTAACGTCAAGAATGCCACGAGGTAATCGCATTTTGATCGCACTTTTTACATGCGAATATTGAATGAACAAGGTTTTTTAAACAATAACGCAAATAATGATTAATCAATTTCCAAAGATCTCCAAATTCGACTATTTTAGTTGTCAAAAATAAAAGATTTCCGAAAATACGTTACTAAAATTATTTAGCTTATGATTAATTCTTGTTGTTGTTTATTTAATACTTTATGTTTACCATTTTTTTAGGTAGCAAAACACTTAAAATTCGAAACGTTTTATTATATCTAAATCTATTTTTTTTTCTTGATAATCATCGCCATCTTATCTTGATATCTTGAAGTTTCACAGAAATCCGCATCACATTACATGAGCAACGAGAGAAAAAAGAATATTGTATTTAAAATGTCGAGTAATTTATCGCAGCACAAAATTTAAAAATTTATTACACGCGTCTCGGAAATAGCGATAAGAGATACGAATTATAATTTTTTTCTTTTGATTTTTCAACTGTTACATTACAAGCTAGCATGAAAAGGCAATGATTTATTATTTATTTATTTTTTCTTTTTTTTTTGTTTACACAACACAATTGAGTTAAAATTAATGTTTCGAATTTTTGGCAATTTTACGTGGCTGTTTTTTGTGTTTTTATCAAAAAGGTGAAAAAATAAAGTACGTCAAAATTATATGATTGAATTTTACTTAAGGATAATACTTCGGAGCCTTAATTGTTATCGGTGAATTGCGTAAACTCTCCCTAAAAATGTTAATATATTCCGGTTTGCCGATCGAAGTTATATGTCGTATTTTTCTGTGTTCTATGAACAACCTTAATTTAACTTATAAAGGTTTTCGGGGAACTCCGAAAAAAGAATTTATTAGATACATAAAAAACTTAAATATTAGTATTTTTATTTCATGGGGGAATAATAGGCCCCTTCACATGAAATAAATGGGTAATTCCTTGGAGCGTGTCACTCATTAAATATAAACTAAAATTAGTAATTTCCCGGCTATCTATATGGGGCCCGGGAAATAAGTAAACGAAGATTCCCGGTCATTTATAAACAGCTAATCACTTGCAATTTTTAAAAATTAGTATGAAGGTGATCATGGGTGACACTTAGTGCGACAGGGATCACAGCTAAAATTATTAATGCTGTACACAAATGCCAATTTATTATCTGCATAGTTAAGAAAACATGTGTTTTATAGTATATGTTGCACGTAATTTGATTTTGTATCCAGTATCCGCTTTCGAGGAAAAAAAAATAATTTGTTATCCTGCTTAAACTTACCGAAATTTGGTAATATTTACCCGAGTAACAAGAGATCTACGTACCTTTTCAGGGCCAAAATTACGTAATGCCGCCCGGAATTATCAAAAAAGGAATGATCTACACGACCACGGAATGTCGATCATGCCAAGAGACGTGCAATGTATTCCGAATTATCCCGAATCATCGTTTCTGCTTACAATAAGATAAAGTTATTATTTAATGTAAATTAATTACGGTTAAATACTTAACTCTATAATGGTAATCCTCCCGTTTACTAATGTGACTATAGGTTATTGCTGTATTACATTATTTACCCTTTTGCATATAATTCCGCTAATTCCGCCGAATAATCTGACGAAAATTCATTCATAAATATTTACTTGCAAAAGAATCTTGTGCTGAAATTTATCTTGTCTTTACGGAACGAAGTTTGTTGTGGCTCGATAAATTGATAAGTGATAACTCGTATTATTAATAAATATGTATACGAAAACGTAACGGATTATCTTATTTATTTTAACTTCTTTAGATATTTTTGATTTAGTACTATCTCGATATCATTTCACTGGCTGTATTGATAGAAATATAAATATATGAGAATTCCAAAAGGACTTCTATTCCACTAAAAAGAGATGAAGTATCAAAGATATTAAAAATTATATTTGAATTTGTAATTGTCGCATGAAATATTTTCCGTTACGCCAACTCTAACTGAACCTTCCAAAAAAACAAATTCATTACCATTTACAGTATGCATCAATGGTACTTTTCAATTTAAATAATGCTATAACAAATTTATATGAACCAGATTTAAACTCAAATACTCAAATTAAATTTTGAACAATTAATGCATGATATCTACAATACGGGACTCCCCAAGATAAATCCCATTTCATATCTTATAATAAGCATGCAACATGATGTCGAATCTTTAGTTAAGCCAAAACAATTTGCAAAGAAATTATTGACAAAATTTTATAACCAAAATAAAAATTCTCGGCCATTAGTGTTTATTTAAAATTAGGCAGCTGTTATTCGTCCGGAAAAAAATTTAATACCGGATTATTAGAATTTACCAGAAAATCCAGTAAAATTAGAATAGAGTATCAGAAGTCACGTGTAACTGCAACGGGCAGTAACTAGTTCACTATTATATTTTAAAACTACGATAATGGCTTTATTTTCGTAAAGGTGAAGTTTTACTTATTTTTTCTCTCAAATATAAATGGACCAGGAGGAAAATGCACTTCTTTCTCGTCCTACACAAAATTATAATACATTGGACTCATCAGGAATTGACATAAGTCCTGAAACTCCACTTCTACCAACAACTTCTTCACCTCCACAAAACCAGCGTCATCGGTTGAGTGGTGGTATTGGACCAGTTTTAAGTGAAATGAAGATACCGTTAAAAATTCGATTATATTTACGTGATGTACTATTACGTTTTTCACAGTTTATCCTTATCCTTGTATTTCTTTTCACTTTTTTGACTATTTTTAAATATAAAGCTATACCCGATTCAAATGATTATTCTGATATTGAATTTAATCGGAGATTTGATCCTAGATCTTATATGACTCCAATAGATAATGATTTTCAAAATTTTCTGATAGTCGAATGAACTCCGAGTACATTATTAAAATGGGCAATAGGTAAAAATATATTTATTTAATTCTTAAATTTAAAAAAAAAATTTTAAATATTTTCTACTTCGATAATTAATAAATAGCTAATGAATGTAATGCTATAATTGTAAGTGATCATAATAACATTGAAGGTGCTTTAGTAGCCCAAAGAATTTCACGTGCAAAATATAATTAATGATTCGGTCACTGTAATGCCAGTAATGGAATATAGGTAAAAAAAGAATAAAATTAATTCTTAATTAATTTTAATTATATTAAAATAAATTCATTTAACTAATTATTAATAACATTAACCTTTTTTTTATTTAAATAGTTCCTGTCGACTCCAATATGCAGTTTATTGGTATAAATGAAACGGTACTAGATGATTTTCCAGATTTTTCTTCAGATGAAAGGTTAGAAGAATAATAAATTATGTTCATAAATTAGGTGGGTTGGTATCTATAAATCATATTCCATGGAGTAATAGTACTGAATGGGGATATCAAGTTGGAACGTTGACAGATCATCCTTCATGAAAGAAACTTCGAGATATGTTACTCGTTATTTAATTAGAATCTGGATTTGTGTAATAATTGTAGTAAATTTATTAATTTAAAAATATGATATTTATTATAATAGGGAGTTGATGGACTCGAAGTAGTAATCAATGGATATACATTCTCCAGCAAAGAGAACAAGTTTTTTTTATTTGATGCAACAGGAATGAGATCAAGAGTTTATCCAAAGTTTATTATAATTTGTTGCCAATCACTTTACTAGCAGATTATTGGACATCATTTTATTCTGAAGTAAAGAAATGTATTGTTTCAATATACTTTTTGTCATCAAAGAAAATTTCTCTGGTGTCTACATGTTATGAAATTGGAAGAATTTTGTTTATTAAAGGATATGAATAATTTCTATGCGGAAATTAAAAATGGTAATATAGGGAGAAATGAAAATGAAGAAGAAAGGCAAGTCGATTTAGTTGATATCTAGATTTTTTTTTAATTATAGTTGTCTAATTTTTATGTATCTTAAAATAATTTCATACTAAAGAGAAATCTTTTTTTTTTAATCATAATCAATTGATTAGTGATACGATGAGATTATGCTTTTTTAATGTCGAATGATAAGTTTAGAAATTATGTAATGATTACTCATTTTTATTTTTAATATTATTTTATAGACAGTATACAGCCAAATTCATAGTCGCCTTTTCGTGCGTTAGTTCTTTTTCATATTTTTAAATAAACTGAATCAGCAATTTAAAATATTTAATAAAGGATAAAAAAATTTATTAGTCTTGAAATAGTAATAAAATGAAAACCCCCAAATAACAAACTGTAAGTTTCATTATGATAAAAAAAAGAATATTTTCTTTCTTAATATATAAAATAATTAATATCCTCAATTATAAATAATTTAATTTCTCATCCAAAATAGCAATTTTTTTTAATCTTAAGAAATTTATCTTAACAGTAAAAAATCAATAATATTTCATATGATTAAAATTAAAATTTTTAAAATAAATAAAAATAGTAATAAAATTATTTATTTTTTTTTTTTATTCAAATATAATAATTCTATTTTATTATTTATTTACAGGATTTTATTTTTAATTTTAATTATTTTTTTTTTTTTAGGAAAAAATCAACGATCATAAAAAAAAAACGATAATCATCTACGAGATGACGTCTTGAAAATTTAATTTAAATACAATGCATTATTACTAAATGCGACACGTATGTATGTGGATATGATATGATGAGATCAGTACATATATATTATTTATATTGATGCCTCCGCCGATCAAAAAAATAAAGTAGCTGATCTAAAGATCGATTTGATGATCATGATAAACATTGAGCGTATTGTTAGTATATAGCTTTAAATGATTTATTCAGGATCCAAACAATATTAGATAAATAATATGTAGCGTTGATCATCTTTTTCATATGGACCTTTACTATCAAAATGAATCCAATACAGTAAGTACACTATCAATAAAATATTAAATAGATTCTATTAAAAATAAAGAAATAGAAAATATTATCGCTGGTTTCAATTTAGTGTGATCATAGCGTAACACCCCCATAAAAAAATTTTTAAAATTTGTGATTATTATATTGTTTTATTTTTAATAAAAAGTCGTAAAAGTTTTTGGAAGACTTTAACTTAAATAGCTGATTGAGTTTATTTAAAATAAAGAAACTATCGATAAAAAGTTTACGTAATTATAAATTTGAGTTTCTTAGTACATTTAACCGTATCATCATAGCGGATTTATGAAATACCCCAAAATTTGTCCGTCATGTCAAATTAAATAAATATTTAACAGTATTTTAGTCACCAAATTTCTATTCAAGTTAGTGAACAGTCAAAAATGAGCTCTAAAAAATTTTTTTGTATCCCAAATCTTGCGTCTAACCAATTTTCCCATTATCTAACCAATTTTTCCAGTTAATGTTTCTGTAAATCAATTTTAATTCCCGAGGGCGCAGGGTTTTTGCCAAATTTCATAAATCCGCCGCAATGTTATAACTTATATGATATATATAAAAATTATTTTTTAGACCAATTTGAGAAAGAAGAAAGAAATGAGTAAACATTACGTAATCTCTTTAAGCTTAACATTTAGCATTAAAAAGCATAGCTGCAAAGTTCCACAACGTTTATCGTATCGTATCATTAATTAATTCAATACGATAAAAAATTTTTACTTTTTGACATAGTATGTTGTTTCTTACTGAGAAAATCCTACTAGTATATTATTGATGTCTATACCATCTTTTAAATCTATAAAATTAATATTTAATATGAACTGAATAAAAGTTTTCATATACAATGCGGGCAATAAAACTCGAAAACTTACCTTTCATTGATATAATTTTATAAAATTAATAAGGAATCCTTTTACTCCAATTAAAACTGATATCAGTTTTCAAAAAACTCTAGGATTGTCTCTCACATATATTGTTGTAATTCATTAGTATTTCATAATGATCGTTTTTCTACATTATGTTTAACATCTCGACAGGATTTATATATTGAAATTTCTATCTTATCCAAAACATTCTGCAAATTTCGACTTAATATTTTGAATCTATAATTTGTGTAAGGCAAAACAAATATTTTTTCCCATGTCAAGATTTTTTGTCGATTTTAGGAAGAGGCCGAATTGGTTTAAAACCCTTATATCATTGTTTAATTGTATTCTCAAATAACTGGAACGCTATTTCATGACAACTAATGTAATTTTCTAACAGTTATTTAATTGATTTTTGAACCCATCTGAACTGCCATAATAAACATTAGTGTCCCAATTGGTAAAACATTTTATAACCAAGCTCATTAATTTAGTCGCCTTCTCACAGCTTTGTAAGGTACATTTGACAATTTTCTAGCCAAAGTACGTAAATATATTGAAATTATTTTAACAAATATGCCGTTTAAGAACATGTTAATGATTCATATTTTGTTTGGCCGACTATTGCCTCTTCTGTGCATCATGTCTTGATATTATAACAGTTAATGATGAATTTCTTTTAAAAAAAAATAGCTTGGAATCGCTTATTTTGTAAACAAGGATTTTTAACAACCGTCATTTTAAAATTGATTGGATAATTTACACGTTAGACGACTTATTAGCTGCATATTCCCTAACCCTACAGTTTGTACTACATAACCTGTCAAATCATCAGATGATAAATTAAGATTAGTTGACTGTATAAACAAAATGATTATATAATATAAATAATATAATATAAATAATATAATATAAGTAGATAACTATACATTATTTACACATGAAAATCTATTCTTATCGATTATGCACATTTAATGTAGCCATTTAAGTTTTAGTACGGATGTGATTAAAATATGTTTAACGGAAATATATAAAATGCCAAACGGCTGTATCATCATTTAACATCATGTCTAAAAATTACACGCATTATTATCTCATCATCTCATTCATCATCTTGATATTATTAAATATCATGCTAAATATATATTAATAAAGAACACCTCTCAATTATAACTTTGATAAATACTATGAATATATAAAAAACGTTAAACTCTTTAACTATTTAAAAATAGTAAAGATTAACAAAGATAATCGAAACTTCAATCTATTTTTATTAAAACAATAAAAGCAAGATAGTTCATTCAATATTATCAAAAGAACTTATCCCTATAAAAAAATTCTGGAAAAAACTCTGATAAATGATAATTTTCCTTCTGAAGAAACTCAGAAATATGATCATTTTTCTGAATAAATTAAATTTGTTATGTCGACTTATTTTTTTTTTTATATTTTTTATATTTAAATTTTTGACATATGATATATAGGACATAGAAATGTTAACAATTTAACTTAAGTTTTAATTGATGTGACCGAAAATTGTCAAATTAATCTTAATCTTTGTGTTAAAGATCCTTAGAGGTGAGAAATACATAATTAATTTCATAACAACACCCAATATAATATTTACCATAAATGTTAAAATTACGATTTAAGTTGTGACTTTGTGATTCTGCAAAGATTTTTAATGACGCACCCGCGAGGCAAACACTTTGTCCATAATTATTTTGTCAAAAAAAAGTCAAAAAATCTTAATACATTTTCTACTCAAAACGTTTATATTTAACTAAAAATAACCAAAATTCTTATATTCTTCATCTCAAAGCAACTTGCGCATTGTTGAGCTGAGTATAATGATAAAACGAAAAAAAATAATAAAACGAATTTTAGAAAGAAATTTCTGGTATAACGAATCGGCGGTTAAACGGATTACGAAATAATATTTTTCGATCAAGGCATATTCTTTTCCTACCCTCAATTTTATTAACGATTTTAATATTCTATTTAAATTTGTACTACGATGTATTCCTTCTTAAAGTTCCGAAATATTTAACAGTCGACTATAATAGATAGCTCTTTCATGACATGGTAAAGTGTTAAAATGCAATTGTTCTAAGCTTGAGAATTTAATTTCTTCGGCAACGTTAAATTGATTGGATAAATCCGATGGATAAGGATCGTCGCATATTGTTGTGACCCAATTTCCTAAACATTCGCAAAGTTGAGATGCTGTCGGTCTATTGGATGGATCAGTATCTAAACATTGTAACATTAATCTAGTGAAAACAGGTGGAGTTCCACTGACTATATTCGGTCTGGTTCCTGAACAAATCTCTTGTATAAGTTGTGAATCATGAGGTCTATCACAATAAGGGCGTATACCAGCTGATAGCATCCACATGATCATGCCGAAACTGTATATGTCAGACTCTTTAGTTAATGTATATCCATTAAAGACTTCAGGAGCAACAAAAGGTATTACGCCGTAAATTTGTATAGAAGATATTTGTTCATCAACAGGACCGTGTAATCCTGTGTCCGCAATTTTAGCATCTATTGAATCCATTTCGCTATCCTCAACCAGTATGTTCCCCCCGTGTAAATTTCCATGAGTAAGATCGCGTTCATGAATAAAATTAAGACCAGCTGATATGGCCCATAATAGATCTACAATATCTCTCCAGTAAAGGATTCTCGTGGATTCATCAAGATACGAATATAAATTCCCATTTTCATAATATCTCATGACGAACATGTAACACGATGTCGGATCTTTAGTCATGCCAAAATAATCTGCAAGTGATCTACTTTGCAGGCATTTATAATATCTATATAACTTTTGGTTAAACAAATTTTTAGCCAATTAAATTTATAATTAAGTTTGACCAATAATAAAAATTTTCAGCCATTTGGCGTTTTTATTTACACACTTACTTGATTTACGAAATCTTGATTTATGTTCTGAGAATTATCTAATCGTTTTAGGATGACTTTGACTGGACCATAACGAGTCCATACTTCAGCTTCTTCGTCCAGAATCCAGATTGGGCCTTCCATCCATATTGCGGAATAAATTGAGCTAAAAACACCTCGTTTATTAGTATTCTTAACTAAATTGAATTGATTAAAATCAATCCACTCAAGGTACGTATTATCGTTTGCATTTAATTGAGTGTACTGAATGAATTCATCTATCATAGAGTTTCCGCTGGTCCAACTATTAAATTTTCCTTTCAAATTTGCAATATTGCAATTTTTACACCATGCAGCGGAAGTTCGTTGCCTTCTACAATCTGGACAATTTCCATATGGTGCACTATTTATAGTGAAATCCTGAGATTCGAGGGTCGGATCGAATAAATGCATGACCTTCAGCTTTGTTTTTTTATTTTATTTTCTTTTTTTTTAAAAAAAATTGCTTTATACAATTATTTTTTTTTTCTTTCGAAATATATATGTATATATATAAGAGAGGCTCTGAAAGCCGCGACATCTTGCTTCAATCATATAGCATTTATATCAGATTTATTAGTTGCTTTGCCAGAAAAAAAAAGGTTTAATCAATTTAATTAGTTTATTTGAATACAATAAGTTCGTACTTCATATTGTTTTATCGCCGTTTATAGGACAAATAAATCTGGTGTGATATTAAAAAAGGTGTAACATTGCAACGATTATTTAATAAGATTTGCCTCTTGCATGACACACAAGTAGTAGTGCACGAAAATTTCTGAAACCAGTAATAGGGATAATCTTAATACATAATGTATAAAATGCGAAATTACGTAATTACCTCTGAAAATATTTTACATTACGCATTACGTTATATTGAATGAACAACTGAAGGTTTTTTTAAACAATAACGCAAATAATGATTAATAATTTCCAAAGATTTCCAAATTCGATTATTTCAGTTGTCAAAAATAAGATTTTCCGAAAATATGTGACTAAAATTATTCAGTTTTTGATTAATTCTTGTACTTTGATGTTTATTTTATACTTTATAGTACTTACCCTTCTTTTAGTACGTTTTAACTAATATCTATGTTAAATCTATTTTTTTTCCATCTTATCTTGATGTCTAAAAGTTTCACATAAATTCGCATCACTGATTTATCGTTTATTTTTTTTTTGTTTGCACAACACAATTGAGTTAAAATTAATATTTCGAATTTTTGGGAATTTTAAGTGGCTGTTATTTGTGTTTTTATCAAAAAGGTGAAAAAATGAATTTAAAATAAAGTACGTCAAAATTATATTATTGAATTTTACTTAAGGATAATACTTCGGAGTTCGGAGCCTTAGTTGTTATCGGGAAAATAATGAATTGCGTAAACTCTAAAAATGTTAACATATTCCAGGTTTGCCGACCGATACATATATAATGTATGTCGTATTTTTCTGTGTTCTATGAACAACCTTAATTTAAATTAGAAAAGGTTTTGGGGAATTCCAGATAAAGAATTTTATTAAATACATAATAAACTTAACGTATCAAGCTAAAATTATTAATGTTGTACACATGAGTGGGATCCAATATATTATCTGCATAGCAAGAAAATGTGTTTTATAGTATATGTTGCACGTAATTAGCCACAAGGCCTAGAATAGAGAATGAACGTAAAAAAAAATAAAATCTTATCCCGCTTCTACAGAAAAATTCGGTAATATTTTGGTAATTTCCAAATATTTGGTCCCAAGACTCCGAACAATAGGTAAAAAAAGATCAGCACGCATATTAATATTAGCTCTACGCATCTTTTCAGGGCAAAAATCACGTAATTCCGCCTGGAATTATCAAAAAATGAAGGATCTACACATATTTTGGTTCATTCTATAATGTTACGATATTGCTCGGGTACTGATATTAGTGATCTATATAATGATTGGACATAATGAACGTGCAGTGTATCCCGGATTATCCCGATTACGGAATCATCTGATTGCCGAAGTTTAGTAAACAATGATTTACAATAAAAATTGCCTCCACGTACAAATTTACAATAAATTTTTACCTCCGCGTACAGATTTACTCCCGAATTAGGGGTTTGACGTACATATAAATATACTTTTTATCGTTTTTTTGTCAATTAATTTAATCATAAATATGAATCTCGGCAAATGAAGTAATTCAAATTCGTTCAAAAATGCTAACATAGTTAGAAATGAAGCATTGATGAAATCAAAAAAAAAAAAAATAGTCAAGAAATTTCAAATATTCAAAGTAATATAAAAAATTTTTATGAAGTTTCTGAAATATGATTATTAAAAAAAAGTTCAGTGTACAGATAAATATAAGGCCTGAAGTTTAACGTACGGATTTGTACGGAAATGACCTTTGTCCGCGGAAGTTCATTAATAAAACTGTGGCGTATTCAGGGGCCCTATTCCAACCCGTTTATCAGTGTGACTACTGTATATGGGTTATTGCTGTATTACTTTCTGTATTAAAAATTACCCTTTTGCATATAATTCTAACAAAAGTCACAGACGAAAAATTCATTTATTTATATTTACTTTCAAAGAATCTTGTGCTGAAATATATCTTGTCTATATGAAACTGAGTTATGGCTCGATAAATTGATGATAACTCATATTATTAAATATACGAAAACGTAACGGATTATTTTCTTTAGATATTTTTGATTTAGTACTATCTCGATAAAGAATTCCAACAAGAAACGCTCATCGGCACAACAAACCCTTAAAAAACCCATTTACAGTAATTTATCTTATTTATCATATGAAGTTATGAACTAACTAGAATAGTTATAAAAGTACTTGGGACACCGTATGAGTTATTTATTTATAAAACTTAGTAGTTTATTGTACTAACATAATAATTATGTATTTAATCATGCTTTAAGCTGCTTACATTCTTTACATCACAATACTCTTCACATCGTTCTTTAATTTTGATTGTAAACTTGTTCTTCCGTCAAGTATCTATGCATGGTTATTTTCTCATCTACATTACATATTTGATTATTGAAAATTTATGCATAATCCATCGATGTAGTACTCCAATAGTACAAAAAAATAACTCCGATAAAATACTATTTATAGAACATTTAAACTTATAAGGTAAAGGCATTTCACATTCGATCAAATGCCATTTGAAGTTGTCATTTAGTCATTTTAAATAAATTCCTTATATGGATAATTCCACAAATAAAAAAATAAAAAAAATTCTCTTTTTGTAAATTTAAAAATATAAAAATTGATTGTATTTTTCAGGCGTGAACATTTAGACAATCATCTCTAAGGTTTTTGTAAATAAAATGATTTGAATATATTATGATGCATCCGCCTAGAAAATAAAATATTAAGAAACTTTTCAAAATATTCTTCGGCTCAAAAAACCGAAAAAAAAACATTTCAACTCACAAAAATGAAAAAAAAACAATAAACTTTCCAAAGGAAAAAAAAATCAATTTAATATTTTCTTTATAAATTATAGCAATGTTACACGTAAATGTATGAACAATGAAATTCTGAAACTTGGGATATAATTAAACTAGTTCGGTTTTGTTTGGGATCAACCTGTGATTATTTACAAAAAAAATTTTATTATTAGATATTAGAACATTTGATAAAACAAAACAATCGGTAAGATAAAACATGCCTGCTACATCTAGTTCTAAAAAAAAAATTTGAAACAATTGGATAAAAAAAATAAAGCATTTCTTTTTCGTGCCTGTAACATAACAGTTGAAAGAAAATATATTTATAATTCCGTTCTCTCTTACCACATCTTGCTATCTCCTTCAAGCGTTCAACGCAATATTCATTTTTTTGCATCTTATAAAATGGGATGGAATATTTTGTGAAACTTTTATTGATATGTTATGATCATTTACCCCCTAGATAATGATTCATAGTATGTCATTGAATATCTTTATTTAAATTTGTATGGATAATTAGTAATATTTAAAACTTAATCTTAGTAAAAATATTAATAAAAAAAAAAGATAAATAAGGATTTCTTGTTAAACTAATAAAATAATAAAATTTGTTAAAGCTTAATTGAATTTTGTGTTAAAATTTTAGAAATTCATAATTAGTTACATAACAGCACTCTAAAAAATATTTACTAGTACATTACGATGAATTAAGTTTGTGATTCCTCAACGAAAAAAAACGAAGTTAGAAAAAAAAAACTCGGTTATAATAATTAACGTTATAATTAGGTTAAAAGGATTGGAAAATTCTTTTCTTTTTAATCTATGCCAATTTTTTCTTACCATAATTTTACTTAAAAGCCAATTATATATTGTGCTTATAATACGTAATACGAATTTATATGAAATTATTTTGTTGAAGCTTAAAATTATTGAAATCTTCTTGTTGGCAGTCCATTTGTATCTTGGTGAGTAATATGTTCATTGCTTGAAAAATCACTATCATTATAATTTTGATTGTCTGCCATTGATGAAACGGTTTGTGTTATCATTTCATTATTCCCAACATCATTTGTGTTTCTATCACAGATCATTCGATAGAAAAGTTTTTGTTTCAAGTTTTGTTCAAGATTGAATTTTTGATCTAAAGACAATGGTTTTGTATCAAAATTCATTCCACAAACTTCATTATTCAAAATGTTTTCTACCAATGGGTATGAAAGTAATTTACAAGTAACATGATATCCTATAGAGGGATTACTTGGATGCTGGTAAAAAAATTCATGATCATAATGATTACTATGATCATTAAAAGAATCTTGTAAAATGATTTTACAAATTACAAGATAAAAATTGACATCACTTGGCAAAAAATAATAAAACTTTAAATAATTTAAACTCGGTAAAATCTGCTGATACTGCATAGTATGTGCTGCTACATCGAAAGTAGCAAAGTTATATGATGTATTTGACATGCCGGTCATATTTCTATGAGACGTTATTGAAGATTCTTGACTTTGCGTAGTTTGTTGAATTGCGGTAGAAAAATCAAATGATTCATCAGTTTCAATGCCGGAATTATTATAAATAAACGATTGTTGTAAATTTTCATCCATACGAGAATAGTTACTTAAAATATAAATACAGTATTACTACTCGAAGATTTATCTATTATGTAAAAATGAAATGGAGAATAAAGAAAAAAAAATATTTGTATATATTCTCTCAGGATACGATTTTTGGTTTTATCATTATATATATAAAAAAGAAAAAATTACAGATATCATATGAATAATTTGAAAAAAGAAAAATACACTAAGAAAAAAACAAGGAGACATATTTTCGGTGTAACGATCCGTGTCATTTGCCTAACCTTATCGATTTTAGTATAAGTTACTACTTATTCATGCTAAAGATTGATAATAATTTGAAAAAAATTTAACGAATTACAGTTTGCATTTTCAGATCAGAACAGTTATTGATCAAAAAAAAAATGAAATATATTATCGGTTTTGTTTTCCTTTTTTTTTTTTATTCTGCTTTTCTATCATAAATTTTTGAAATAAACTTTTTACAAAACCGAAATAAAATAAGGCGCGTTTTAATAAAGGAAACTATTCTGCTGATCTATTTGTGTTACTGCTGCGTTAACTTCTTGTATTATATATAAGTGCATGAGTTAATAATGTATAAATGCTAAATTACGTAATTACTTCTGAAAATATTTTACATTAACTATATTAATAAACTTTTAAAAGCCTTTCTTTTAATCGATTTCCCAAATTTGATGATTAAAAATACGACTAAAATAATTTAGTTTATGATTAACTCTTGTTCTTTGATGTCTATTTAATTTATATTTACCCCTAGCCTAGCCTTTTTAGTAGCAATATCTAAAAATCTATTTTTTTTTTGTTCTTGATAATCATCGCCATCTTATCTTGGTATCTTAAAATTTCACAGAAATTCGCATCACATTATATCATCACATTATATGAGCAGTGGAAAAAAAAAAAGAATATTTTATCTAAGATGTGTAAATTTATCGTAGCATAAAATTTAAAATTTATTACACGCATATAATAATAATATTATTATAGGATTTATTCTTCTTTATGATCTTACAGCTGTTATAGTTATATTACAAGCTATCATGAAAAGGCAATGCTTTATTTATTTATTTATTTTGTTTATACAACGCAATTAAGTTCAAATTAATATTTCGATTTTTTTTTAGAAGATTACGTGGCTGTTTATTGTGTTTTTATCAAAAAAGATGAAAAATGAATATAAAATGAAGTACAGTAATCAGTGTATATGTCATAAGTCCGTATTTTTCTGTGTTCTGAACAACCTTAAATCACAAAGAAGGTTTTGGGAAATCCAGAAAAAGAATTTTATTAAATATATAATAAACTTAAATTTTACGGACGTAAAATTCTGAATTAAGCTAAAATGATTAATTTTGTAAACAAATGAATCAAATCTATTAATTGCATGGTAATTAAAATTAAAGAAAAATTACAATTTCTAGTGTTTTATATACATTACGTTTTTGTAGCCGGTGTTAACGGACCGGTCCGGACCGACCGGACCGATTAGAACCGATCGGTCTAATAAGACCGATCAAAAAAAATTCTCTTTTTGGTAAATTAGTAAGCTGGTATGATATACTATATATGATTAACTGATTTGTCAACAATGACATGATTTTTTTGTTTAACTTAAGAGCGAACTAACGAATTTATGATGAACAAAAAATTTTTTTTTGTTTACAGTAAAATAAACAAGAAACAATTTTTTCTGTTTAAATCTAGACAAATTAGTGAACATTCTTAAAGGAATTTTTATTACAACTAAAAATTTTTTGGGAATTTTTTTTATAGGATCGCAGTACAGAACCAGAATCCCTTGTAGTAAACCATGTGACGAACTAAATCACGTTACACTTACGAAAATGATATCTAGAATTAAACATACCTAAAATTTTATTTTTACAAATCCAGAAAATGAAATATTAAAGAATACATGTATTGTTATGAAATAAATTAAACATTTCTAATTTCTCTAATTAGCAATTGTGAGAATCATGTCTAAAGAGTACATTTTCTCCGCTTTTATTAATGTTTACAAAGTAATTTTACTAAATAAAATATAAATTCTCGCGTAATTTATTTTAGATCCATTTTTTCATTCAATGATCATACTCACCAAGATACAATTGGGTTGAAGACTTGAAGGATAATGTCATTCATTCACAACAAGATGATTTCAATACTTTTGTACTTCAGCAAAATAATTTCGAAACCACTCATTAATTCAAAATTTTATTATATTTATACTAGCCGTTAACCCGTTGCTTTTGCAACGGTATATATACATATAACTCAATTACTCAAATGCCTAATTTCGTTACATGTAAAAAAAAAGCGAGACGTAGCTAAGCCAATTAATAACACGCTATGTAACAAGTGACACAGGTAACACGTTACGGTTACGCACAAAACAATTATTATATAGATATAGATATTAGATTGATCTCGAATGCAGAGAACAATTTGATTATTATCTATATTCGTATTCGCTTTTAAAAAAAATACAATATATACTACTTTTACTAAAATCGGTAGTAAAATTATGACAAGAAAAAATTGGTCTAGATTTAAAAAAAAAATTAGGTTTCTATTCTTTTAATCCATTTTTAACGCTGATTATTATTACTGAATTTTCTTTTTCTAACTTCGTTTTTTTCGTTATCATAATATATGAGGAATCACAAACTTAATTTCATCGTAATATATTAGTTATAAGTTATGTTTCTCGAATGTTATTACGTAATTAATTATGAATTAAGATTGTAATTTTATTTAACATTTTATGATTGCTTTAAGTTTTGAAATTTATATAAAGTTATTCAAAATCAAATGATACTGTAAATCATTTTACTTAAATATCAAGAAGAAAATAAATAGTAAGCCTCATACTCCATATTAAACTGCGTAGAAATTGTATTTTTTTTTTTTCAACATACATGTAGAAAAGTAAAAGTTAAGATTATCAAGAAAGTTCCAATATATGGAATAATTTTACTAAATGAACCACTGGTCAGCAGTGGTTACTTTAATTTATTTAAATAAGTTAGAATTACGCGCATATTATTATTATTATTATTATTATTTAATAAAAAAAAAGTCGTAAAAATTTTAGAGTTTTTCTTTTTGTTACCATTTTAAAGATGATCGAGTTTATTTAAATAAAGGAAATAACGATAAAAAAGCTAGTAACTATAAATTTGAGTTTCTTAGTACATTTGACTGTATAAACTTCATTTTAATAAACGAAAGGTTCTATACTCAAATTGGTAAGTTTTAAACGTCTTACCTTGTTATTGTATAACTAGGCGTTTTTTTAAATTTGAAGTCTGTGAAAAAAATAAAAATAAATTATAAAATTATAAAACAATTAGTGATTACGTTTTACAACCTTTTTGTTATTTTGTTTCCTAAATAAAAATATGACAAAATTTCATTTGATGGATAATAAAAATTTAATCTTTTAACTAACAATTGATATGGGGTATACGGTAATACGTCAAAATTTGTCCAGACTCATGCAATCCAGTTTCCTTAACTAATATGTTTCTTCCATGTAATGGCTAGATGGTACAATGAAATATCATTGAAATGTTCGTAAACGAGACGGAATAAAATTAAGATCAGTCGATATTAGCAATAATATGTCTATAATATCTTCAACGAAGGATTCCCGTAGATTCGTCAAGATTCAAATATAAATTTGCTAATAATTTCAAGGTACCCACGGGTATTATTCAATTTTAGATCGGATAAATTGTAAAAGACCCGCGGGATACTATAGTCAGTGTTATACGGTATTTTTCAATTCTTTAACGGACATGTATTAACCAAAGAATCTGATATTCACAGCTTTGAGATGTTATCAGCCTTTAATGTAATAAACCTCATAAGTCGAAACTTATAGAAGAGATCGGTCAGGATCGGTCAGTGGAATTTCAACTTGTTTTCTCTGGATCTACGAACTAATTTGTGACGATCCTGATCCGTACGTTAATTGGACCTAGACAAATACACAGAACAACGTAATACCTCGCTTTTTTTTTGAAAATACTAAAGAAAAACATTTTTTTTCTTATTGAGAAGTATCTAAAAAAAGCTAAAAAGGCTTGAATTAATTATTTTTTCTTGAAAAGGGAAGTATCATATGAAAAAAAAACAGCTATTTGGAGCGTTCTTACAGAATTTGGAATGAAACAATAAGTAGAATATAGAGTTATGGACGTGTGAATTTAACAGGGATTACTATAAATTATAATGATCGCAAAAAAAAATCTCTAATAATAAACTTTTATGATACTTTACATACTGTAAGTTTTGATTTACTAATTAGTCGATGGTACACCCCAACTGTCATGACTTCATCATCTTTTTTAAAGAGAACACGCGTCAGATTTACTCATCCTACTAGTGAAATAGTTAGACTTTACAGTAGAACGTATTACTATCTTATCTTAATCATACTTAAGTTTACAGTACGACGTACTGCTACCTAAAGATATAAATATTCCTTGTGTTGTTTTCTTTGTTTCTTTAATGTAATTGAAAATTCTTTTTTTTTAGCAATGATTGCATCACATTCATTTATTATAATTTCGTCAAACTTTTATCTAATAATTATAAATATTTACTTCAATATGAAAAATAGATTTCACTTACTTTCATCATCCTTTAACTTATATTTATCCGAAGGTATGGTGAATTAAATGCTTATTCGATATATGCTGTTTCTTGAGAAAATTCCTACAAGTAGACTTTCCGTTAGCGGATGAAAAATAATTTGAGAATGTAGGAGGACCGAAGCTTGATTTTGTTGAGAACTGTTGATGATGTATAATAGATTAATAAAGAATCCTTTCAATCAAAAGCTGATACGTTTTTCATTGATCAACCAAAAAACTCTTCCATTTTTCGATCATATACTATTGCAATTCATCAGGATTTCGTGGTAATCGTTTTTTCTATATTATGTTTAAAATACCATAGTTTTTTAGGCTATTTAATGACTACATTTTCTTGAAGGAATTCTTTACAAGCCGCTTGAGTCATTTTCTTACTAAAATTTCCATCTTCCCAGTAAGCATTATGTTTTGGTAAACTACTTTATAACCAAGCTCATCTAGCCGCCTTCCCACAGCTTTGTAGTCACAATTATACTGCGAAAATTTTCTAATCAAAGTACGAATATGTCTTTCAAGAACATCGTTATTTCGCTATAGTATATGGTCGTCCCTATGAAACTCATTTCTGGTTTCTTACAATTTTTTGATATTATAATTGGTTGTTTAAAGGGAATGCTAGTTAATGATGGACTTCTTTTTGGGGAGCGTATTCCTTTATTCTTTATTCTTTTAACCATAATTTCTGTAAAAACTCCGTGAATATGATACATTTTCGGAATTAACATGTAATAAAAAAAACACGGAATAAAATTTTTTATTTCAAAAAAGAAATTATGAAAAATAGATATGATGATATGTAACACAATAAAATACAAAAAAAAAGGAGTCAAAAATAGGAAAAAGCGACGTCAGCGGATGGTAGACAAAATCGTCTAAGCAGAATGTCCTTCGCTAACATTTCGGAATCCGGACAATAAAATAGTTTGACGTCGCTTATTTAAAGGCAAATTTTTTTGTGATTGGACTATAAGGCAAACTCACGTTTATGGCCAATTTTATTAGGATCAGGTGTAACACGTTGATTATAGATAATCATGTGATTATAATGCTTCGGATTTCGTGAATAAGCAATAAGAAATTGCTTATTAATAGCTGTTAAGCGCATGCACATCAAATAACCCCTGAAGCTTGTACTAGTTAACCTGCAGAATGTTAAGATTAGTTAGTAGCTGTAAGCAACTGGATTATATAATATATAAATATAATTTTTTTTTTTGTTAGTAATGTTAGTAACGCGCATTCTTTTATTTATCTCAATGTAAACAGGTTCATATTATAAATTAAAAGGAATACATAGTATAAATATATCTACTAACTCCATATTATTTATGGAAGTACTAATAAAAATTAATACTTAAACTATACTAATACTAAACTAATATACTATGCTAAAACTATAACTACTAACAATAATTTTATGACATTTTTGTTTGATTTTATATATTATACTGTGTTTTTAATTTTAATAATTTTCTAATCCAAATAATTCCAAAATAAACAACCCGTCTCGGTATGGACTATATTTGATGGCCTCGCGTAGATTTGGTATGGATGCCTCTGTTGACATTCGGGTTAAAAATACCGTCTATTTATGTCTCCCCTCGTAAAAAGTGTTGAAACGAGAATATATTTCACTATTATTCATTAGTAAACAACTATCTTAAAACTTAGGAAGCGCCTTGAAAATGTCATTAATAACTCGTGCACATTCAACACCCGCCCTTAAAAAATTTTGTAAAGATAAATAATATAATTTAAGTAGATTTTTTATTTACACATATTCTTACGCATTAATGTAGCGTGTAGTTATTTGCAAAAACCATATTCTAAACAACTTATTTGCATATTAATCTTATAGTAAACGTGTCGGTGTCCATTAGTACTAAAGTTTTAGTACGAATATGATCAAAATAAGTTTAAATGATAGCATACAAAATAACTTTTTAACATCATATTTATTAAATTACGCGCATGATTATCTCATCATCTTGTTATTATTATTTTTAAATAACATACTAAATATACAATAAGAGCACCTATTAACTATAACTTTGATAGAATACTATAAATATATAAAGAAAAAATGTATTTGTAACAGCCTGTTACATATTTTATTTGTAACATCCTTTTTTTATTTTTTTTTAATAATAAATTTAATATGTGTTTCACAAATAAAATTTTTATATGCAAAATTTAATTTGGAAAACTTTTACTTAATGTACTTAAGACAGTTTCATAGACAAAATTTTAAGTTATAAGCAGTTTCTTGAAATTTTTTAAAAAATTCTTTTGTCTTAGTTACACGACTGATCTTTTGTTTTTGTTTACAATTACACCTGATCTTAAATTTTAATTGGATAAAATTGGGTTGTTACAAATAAGACGCGTAACAGGTTGTTACAATTAGATTTATCCATATATAAAAACGTTAACCATAACTATTTAAAGTAGCAAGATTAGCAAAGATTATCGAAACATTAATCTATTTTTATTAAAGCAATAAAGCAAGATAGTGCATTCAATATAACAATAGGTTTAAAATACCATTGTTTTTGTTTGAGATAAATAATTTTTGACAGATTAACTTTGTGTTAATATTCCCACTCCTATAACAGCCAATGAGCCCGTTTTAGCATAAAAAACTTTTTGTAGGACACGTATTTTACATTTTCATATTTAAAATTTTGACATATATAGGACACAAGAATATTTATTTCACACAACTGTTATTCGCGGAAACTTTTCAAACAATTCGGTTTAGAGAATGTATTGTTATTTTATTTAACGTGAATAAAAATTGTCAAATTAATCTTAATTGTTGGTTGTGTTAAAAATCTTAAAAAAATGGTGAGAAATTACATAGTTAATTACATAACAACACTCGATATAAATAAACATTTGCTATAAATGTTGAAATTACGATTTAAGTTTGTGTGTGATTCTTCATGAACGATGATGAAAAGAATAAAACGAATTTTGGGAAAGGAATTTATAGTGTAACGAATCGGCGTAAAACCGAATTAGGATGTCAATCTAAGCCAATTTTTTTCTTACCCGCGATTTTACTAACGATTTTAGTATTTCCATTTATGCAAAAAAAAATAAACGATAATAGCGATTCATGTTGCGATATACAATATGTTCCTTTTTTATATTTTTTCGTAAAGAAATGGTTCCGAAAAATTTAATGGTCGACTGTAATAGATGGCTCTCTCATGACACGGTAAAATGCTAAAATGTAACTGTTCTAAATTTGAGAATTTAATTTTTTCAGCAATGTCAAATTGATTAGATAAATCCGACGGATCAGGATCGTCGCATATTGCTGTGACCCAATTTCCTAAACGTTCGTAAAGTTGAGATGCTGTTGGTCTATTGAACGGATCAGCATCTAAACATTGTAACATTAATCTAGCGAAAACAGGTGGAGTTCCACTGACTATACTCGGTCTGGTTCCTGAGCAAATCTCTTGTATAAGTTGTGAATCATGAGGTCTATTACAATAAGGGCGTACACCAGCTGATAACATCCACATGATCATGCCGAAGCTATATATGTCAGACTCTTTGGTTAATGTGTATCCATTAAAGATTTCGGGAGCAATGAAAGGTATTACGCCGTAAATTTGTTTAGAAGATATTTGTTTATCAACAGGACCGTGTAATCCTGTGTCTGTAATTTTAGTATCTATCGAATACATTTCATTCTCAACCAGTACGTTCCCTCCATGTAAATGCCCGTGGATGAGACCACGTTCATGAATAAAATTAAGACCAGCTGATATAGCCCATAAAATATCTACAATATCTCTCCAGCAAAGGATTCCCATGGATTCGTCAAGATACGAATATAAATTTCCTTTTTCATAATATCTCATAACGAACATGTAACACGATGTCAGATCTTTAGTAATACCGAAATAATCTGCAAGTGAACCGCTTTGCAAACACTTACAATATCTGTATAACTTTTTTGATTAAAAAAATATTTAGCCCAATAAAACTAATAAACTTTAATTTAAATTTTCAGCCATTTGGCGTTTTTTATTTACATACTTACTTGATTTACGAAATCTTGATTTATGTTCTGGGAATTATCCAATCGTTTTAATATGACCTTAATTGGACCATTACTAGTCCATACTTTAGCTTCTTCGTCCAAATTCCAAGTAGGTCCTTCCATCCATATTGCAGAATAAATCGAACTAAAAGCGCCTCGTTTATTAGTATTCTCAATCAGATCGAATTGATCAAATTCAATCCATTCAAGGTAGTCTGTGCTGTCGTTTGCTTTTAATTGAGTATATTGGATGAATTCATCTATCATAGAGTTTCCACTGGTCCAACTATGAAATTTTTCTTTCAAATTTGCAATATCACAATTTTTGCACCAAGAAGCAGAAGTTCGCTGCCTTTTACAATCCGAACAACTTCCGTATGATAGAGCTTTATTATTTGCACTATTTATAGCAGAATCCCGAGACCCAGAGGTCGAGTCAAACAAACGCACGACCTCCAGCTTTGTTTTTTTATTTTTTTTTTTTCTTCCGAAAAAAAAAAAAATATAAAAGAAGGCTCTAAAAGCCCAACATCCTCAATCGTATAGAATTTATACGTAAAACAAATAATCAAAAATCATTCCTTGGACTAACAATGAGTATCTATTCTCTATTGTTCAAGCCGGATTAAGTAAAATTCGGATCAAACAAAAATTTTAATGGTTGGACACATTATTAACAAGATTTACCTTTTACATGTACGTATGTGCCGAAATTTCTGTGAACGGGATTATCTTAGTACATAATGTAGACATGCGGAATTACGTAATTACCTCTGAAAATATTTTACATTAAACTACATTAACTACATTAACTTTGAAAAAACTATCTTTAGGAATAATGCCCGTGAAACCATGTGGAATAATAGATTTTTTTTAACATCAAGAATGCCACGAACTGCACGAAGTAATCGCATTTTTATCGCATTTTTACATGTGAATATTGAATGAACAAGGTTGTTTTTTAAACAATACGCAAATAATATTTATTTTTAATGTACGATAATATTAAAGTAGTTAAATGAAGAATTAAATTTATATGAATTATTTCAAATTTAGTAATGATATAGGTTTAATCAGTAATTTTTACATTTGTATTATTACATATTATAGAATTTCCGCTAGTCCAGCTACAAAAATTTTCTTTAAAAATTGCTATATCGCAATTTTTACACCATGCTACTGCGGTTCGTTTTTGTTTACATTCTGAACAATTACCATAAGATTGAGATTCATCTTGAGACCCAGAAGGGTTCAGTGAACGAAACGAAGATTCGGGATTATAATCCATTTAAAAAACCATTTCTTGGCGATCACATTACGTAATTTGCTTAATAATAGGGTAAAAACAAATCCCTTTAATTTATTTAGGGGGGGGGGAGCCGGAAAAATCATCCGATCAACAAGCAAATATACAGGTTTTTAAAAAAAGGGTGAGAAACCAAGGAGTAATGCAAAATAATAAATAATTTGTTGCACATGATAAAGAATAGTTGCCAATTTGTTTCTAAAAAAAAATCAATATGTAAATAAAATTTCAAACGAATATTAAATAATATTTGCGTCAAAGTATCGTTTTAAAAAATAGGAAACGAAAATTGTGTCGGCTTATATACAGTATATAAATCAATTTTAATGTTACATATAAGTAGTATTCGATAAAAGTAATAATAACGATAAGTGAAAAATAATTTTTCCATACAAACATGAATGACGAGAAAACGCAAATTAATTTAAATATAAACAAATATATTATAAATATTAAAGGAAAGTTTAGCGTTAATTGTGAACAAAATAATTGTACATTAAAATCTCTACAATATCCCTTCAGAAAAGTATTCCCATAAATTCGTCAAGATACGAATAATCATACTTATTTTATGTTTTAAAATTAAAAAATCTATGTAAAAAATAAATTCTAATCTACTGCGGAGTAAAACACGATTGGTCGGCTCAAATTTTCTAAAAATTTGTACTTACCAAATTATTTTTGAAAAACGAGTGTTTAAATAAAAAAATTTGCTTCATACATAATTATAATTTAAGAGAATTCTGATAAATCAACAAGTAGTAAAAGGATTATTATGTAACTAACATTATTAATATTATTAATATCGGGCTTAACAATTAATAATTGATGCCGTAATTTGTTATATAACAATAAATTTGTTGGTATATGGAAGGTAAAATTTTGATTCGTTATAATTTTTCCTTTTACAGAATTTTACTGCCATGCACAGAATTGCAATCATTGCTTTAAATTAATTATAATAGATTTATTTTATTTAGTAGTTAAAAAGTTAGAAATAACATTTTAGGTAAAAGCTCATTCTTATATCGCAGTAATATTAGTTTTCATTTACATTTATGTAAGACTTATTTTAACTTATGAAGTTTAAACTAAAAGTAATTTGACATTGAAATCATTGAAATCAATTAGTTTTCCGTAAAGAATATGAAAAAATCGAGATCGTATTTAATGATCGGCCGAAATCTGGATCTTTGAAATACGTGTCATATTTTTAGTAATTTTTTTTATAGATAATTCTTTGGCTTCCCATTAAAAAGAATCATAATTAATAATTAATTCACTTTTTTAAACCGCATGTATAGGAATTGCCCCGATAGTAATAAAACAATGAATTTTAGAATCATTGAAGAAAGATTGTGTACCTCCCCTGAGCCAGGGGTAAATCAAATTTAACAAATAATTTTAGGTTATTTATCTAAATTTAGTTATATTAAACTTATACCTATTTTTCTTAACTGTTCATGATAAATTTTTTAGGGATGAAATTTCTCTAATAGTTTATTTGAATCATATTATTTATTATAAGATACAAATATACCCCCCAAAATCGTAAAGTTTATAGTAAAAAAAAATAATTAAAAATTAAAAATAAAATCCTGTAAACAAATAATAAAATAGAATTATTAAAAAAAAATAAATAATTTTATTACTATTTTTATTTATTTTTTAAAAACATTTTAATTTTAAATCATATGAAAATATTATTGATTTTTTAATGCTAAGATAAATTTTCTTAAAATTAAAAAAAATTGCTATTTTGAATGAGAAATTAAATTATTTATAATTGAGGATATTAATTATTTTTATATATTAAGAAAGAAAATATTCTTTTTTTTATCATAATGAATCTTACAGTTTGTTATTTAGGTTTTCATTTTATTACTATTTCAAGATTAATAAAATTTTTTTATCTTTTAAATATTTTAAATTGCAGTTTCAGTTTATTTAAAATATAAAAAAGAACTAACGATAAGGTGACTATAAATTTGGCTATATACATACTGTTTATAAAATAATATTAAAAATAAAATGAGTAATCATTACATAATTTCTAAACTTACCATTCGGCATTAAAAAAAGCATAAGTACAGCGACGCTTATCTCATCGTAATTGATTACGATGAAAAAAAAAAAAAGATTTTTTTTTTAGTAAATTATTTTAAGATACATAAAAATTAGACAACTATAATTAAAAAAAAATCTAGATATCAACTAAATCGACTTGCCTTTCTTCTTCATTTTCATTTCTCCCTATATTACCATTTTTAATTTCCACATAGAAATTATTCATATCCTTTAATAAACAAAATTCTTCCAATTTCATAACATGTAGACACCAGAGAAATTTTCTTTGATGACAAAAAGTATATTGAAACAATACATTTCTTTACTTTTAGAATAAAATGATGTCCAATAATCTGCTAGTAAAGTGATTGGCAACAAATTATAATAAGCTGAGTTCTTCTTTGGGTCTTATTCCTGTTGCATCAAATAAAAAAAACTTGTTCTCTTTGCTGGAGAATGTATACTATCTGATCCTGTAAGTATTAACATATTATTTTATTATACGAACAAATATGATGTTTGCCAGTTAAAATGTATATCCATTGATTACTACTTCGAGTCCATCAACTCCCTATTATAAAGAATATCATATTTTTAAATTAATAAAATTACTACAATTATTACACAAATCCAGATTCTAATTAAATAACGAGTATCATATCTCGAAGTTTCTCTCTTGAAGGATGATCTCCAACTTGTCCCCATTCAGTACTGTTACTCCATGGAATATGATTTACAGATACCAAACCACCTAATTTATGAACATGATTTATTATTTCTTCTAACCTTTCATCTGAAGGAAAATCTGGAGAAACATCTACCGTTCATTTATACCAATAAACTGCATATGGAGCTGACAGGAACTATTCTAATAAAAAAAAGGTTAATGTTATTAATAATTAGTTAAACGAATTTATTTTAATATAATTAAGAATTAAATTTATTTTTTTTGGGGGCTTCTGAAACACCTTCAATATTATTGTGATCACTTACAATTATAGCATTATATCCATTAGCTATTTATTAATTATCGAAATAGAAAATATTTTGTAATTTTTTTAAATTTTTAAAAGAAAGAAATCCATTAAATAAATATATTTTTACCTATTGCCCATTTTAATAATTGCTCGGGGTTCATTCGACCATCAGAAAATTTTGTATGTAAGTGACCATCTAATAATACATTGAATTCACCAAAATCATTATCTATTGGAGTCATATAAGATCTAGGATCAAATTTAATCATTTGAATCGGGTATAGCTTTATATTTAAAAATAGTCAAAAAAGGGAAAAGAAATACAAGGATAAAGATAAACTGTAAAAAAACGTAATAGTACATCACGTAAATATAATCGAAATTTCTAACGGTATCTTTATTTCACTTAAAACTGGTCCAGTACCATGATGACGCTGGTTTTGTGGTAGAAGTGGAGTTTCAGGACTTATATCAATTTCTGATGAATTCAATGTATTATGATTTTGTGTAGGACGAGAAAGAAGTGCGTATTTCTCTTGGTTCATTTTATATTTGAGAGAAAAGAAAATATATATATATATATATATATAAATAATAAGTAAAACTTCAACTTTAATAAATGACAAAGAGAAGCATGGTTCTATACTCAAGTTGGTAAAGTTTTCAGTTACAAATTACTTCAATTAATAATGTTTACCTGTTACAGACGATCAGCACTATACTTGTACGAAAATTGTAACCATTATCGTAGTTTTTAGTGAACGCAAGTTGCAACGGAGTACAGTCTACTCGCTTTATAACGAAGTGAGTGGTTTAGCAAATCAGGCCTTCGTTATAAGAAAATTCGTTAACATGATATAAAAATCTGGTATAACTCAGGAAAATTTTGTATATTGCGGTAAATTGTATAATACTTGTATTATGGATAACGCATGTCACACAAAATATCTTCGTTATATTAAATTATATACTGGTTATAGACTTCGTTAATCGGTATACAGCATTTTACTAATAATCTTCGGTATAACATGATTTTTTTATATGATAAAATTGGTACAACACCGAAGGTTCGCTATATTAAGAAATTCGTTAAATCAAAATTCGTTGTAAAGCGAGTTGGACTGTATACACGTGCTTCGGATACTGTAAATTACAGCGTGAAAAATCTATTCTAATTTTACTGGATTTTCTGGTAAATTTCTAATAAATCCGGTATTAATAAATAACGTAATTTTTCTCCGGTATAACATTACGTGACGAATAACAGCCGCCTAATTTTAAATAAACACTAATGGTTGAGAATTTTTATTTTGGTTATAAAAATTTTGTCAATAATTTCTTTGCAGATTGTTTTGACATAACTAAAGATTCGACATCATGTTGCATGTTCATTATAAGTTATGAAATAAGAATTTATCTTGGGAGTCCCTTATTGTAGATATCATACATTAATTGTTCAACTATAAAAACTATTGAGCTTGGAAATTTAATTTGAGTTTAATCTGGTTCATAATAAATTCAAAAGTACCATTGATGCATACTGTAAATGGTAATGAATTTGTTTTTGGAAGTTTCAGTTAGAGTTGGTGTAACGGAAAACATTTCATGCAACAATTACAAATTCAAATATAATTCTTAATATCTTTGATATCTCATTTCTTCTTAGTGAGATAGAAGTTCCTATTGGAATTCTCATATATTTATATTTCCATCAATACGGTCAGTCCGTCAGTGAAATGATATCGAGATAGTACTAAATCAAAAATATCTAAAGAAATTAAAATAAATAAGATAATCCGTTACGTTTTCGTATATTTATTAATAATACGAGTTATCACTTATCAATTTATCGAGCCATAACAACCCTCAGTTCCAATAAAGACAAGATAAATTTTAGCACAAGATTCTTTTGCAAGTAAATATTTATGAATGAATTTTCGTCAGATTATTCGTTCGGCAATTATTATGACTTTTGCCGGAATTATATGCAAAAGGGTAATAAAGTAATACAGCAATAACCTATATAGTCACATTAGTAAACAGGAGGATTACGTTAAAAAGTAATTAACCGTAATTAATTTATAATAAATAATAACTTTATCTTATTGTAAGTAGAAATGAGAAGACCTTTACAATCGGATGATTCCGGATAATTCGGAGGCGTTCATAATGCATACGGCACTTAAATGATCAGAATGTCGATCACTAAGTGAGTCAAATCCGAGTTTGCGTAGAATTACGTAGTAATTTTGGCCCTGAAAAGATACGTAGTGCAAAGGGCAGCGTCATATATTAGCTAATATTAGTTTCATACCCCCACCCAAGTAAGATCTTTTTTTTAACCAATAATATCCAATTATAAATATAATTTTAACCAATAAAAATGTTTAATTTTGTGTTTCGTAAGATTTTGCTTAACCCCCCAAAATATTAGCTAATATATATTATAGTATATGCGTGCCGATCTCTACAGATCCGGAGTACACCAATTACAATTTAATTACTATCTGGGCATAATTTAAAATTTATTCTTAGATATAAAAGGCTATATCCGGACTTATGAATATAATCAATTTCGTGATTGGCTTGCGGTCTGTTGCGGAAACCTCAAAATTCGTTAATTAATGTTATATGTACTTACTTGATTTATAAATTTAAGGCTCATAAACGTTTCAATATAACCTTAATTGGGCCATAACGATTCCATGTTTCGGCTTCTTCATCTAAATTCCACCTTGGACCTTCCATCCAAACGGCCGAATAAATTGAACTGAAGGCACCTCGTTTATTAATATTCTCAACTAAATCAAATTGATCAAATTCAATCCATTCGAGATAGTTCGTCTTTTCATTAGCATTTAATTGAGTATCCCTTATAAATTCATCAATTATAGAATTTCCGCTGGTCCAGCTACAAAGATTTTCTTTAAAAATTGCTATATCGCAATTTTTACATCATGCTACTGCAGTTCGTTTTTGTTTACATTCTGAACAATTACCATAAGATTGAGATTCATCTTGAGACCCAGAAGGGCTCAGTGAACGAGACGAAAATTCAGGATTATAATCCAGTTTTTTAACTTGATTTTTTTTGCGTAAGCCTTTAATTTATTTTTTTAAGAATCATTTTTTTTTAAAAAAAGAGTCTCTTTATAGTAAATAAAAACCATTTCTTGGTTGAACACAATTATATAATTGATTAGTAATATAAATCGAAAGGAAAGTAAGGTCTCCTATAAGTGATTGGTAAATAATTTTTTTTTAAATAAACTGTATCTGCTCTTTAAAATACCTTAAAAGTTACAAAATTTTTATCACTAATTTTATTACAAAAATAAAAAATGCGTATATTTCTGGCTGTTGTTACTAAATAAAAAAAGGGGAAATTAAGAGATAAAAAAAATAATTTTTGCTGTACGCAGTTTGATATGTTGTATATGAGACTTCAGTTCAATCTCATGACTCTTAACATGTGTAACCTTGCCCCTTGTAAATTGATGTCATTTGAATATCTTTATTAAATTTGCATGAATTAAGTTAATACAAAGTTCAAAAAAAAGCAAATAAGGATTCGCCAAAATCTAATACTGTAATATAAAATAATAGATTTAACTTTTAATGTAATAAATTTTGTATAAATACAGTATGTTAAAGCTTAATTGATTTTTATGTTAAAATCTTATAAATCCATAATTAATTACATATAAACGACACTCTAAATAACAATATTACGATAAAACTAAGTTTGTGATTCCTCATATATATGACGAAACGAAAAAACGAAATTAGAAAGTTATAATAACCGGTGTTAAAATGAATTAAAAGAATTAGGAACATTTTTTAATCTAGGCCAATTTTTCTTACCATAATTTACCGATGGTTTTAGTAAAGCAAATAATTTGTATTGCAATAAAGATCATGACATTTATTACGTAATTTTTTAGGGGTGGATAGCATATTTCTAAGTAAATATACAAGTATAATAAAATTTAAATTAATGAGTGGTTTCGAAATTATTTTGCTGAAGTGCAAAAGTATTGAAATCGTCTTGTTGTGAATGAATGACATTATCTTTCAACCCAATTGTATCTTGGTGAGTATGATCTTTGCTTGAACAATTACTATCATTGTAATCTTACATGTCTGCTACTGAAACGAGTTGTGTTATCATTTCATGATCCACAACGCCATTATAAAATGAATTTGTATTTCTATTACAATGCATTCGATGGAAGAGTTTTAGTTTCAAGCTTTGTTCAAGATTGAACTTTTGATTTAATGATAATAATTCGACATCAAAATTCATTCCACAAATTTCATCATTTAAAATATTTTCTACTAAACAGTTTGGAAGTGATTTGCAAGTAACATGATATCTTGTGGAAGGATAGTTTGGATGTTTATAAAAGAACTCGTGACTGTAACGATCATGATTGTTAAAAGAAGAATCTTCTTGTAAAATAATTTTACAAGTTACGAGATAAAAAATATTAACATAGAAATGATAAAATTTTAAATAACTCATAACTGGCAAAGTCTGTTGATATTGCATAGTAACTTGATTTGTTGCATTATAAGTATTACATGATGAATCAGAAATATTCATCACATTTCCTAACGAAGATACTTGATGTTGCGTAATTGGTTGAGCTGCGGCAATATCGATAGAAAAATCAAGTGATTCGTTAGTTGTCATATTGAAAGAGTTGTAAGAATGGGTTGAGGTAGGTTGAGAATAATTCATGGTAAATAGTTGTCTATCATAACATAAATTATTATCCATATTATCCATATTGTACTTAGATGGAAGCAATTTTTAAGAAACATCAGAGTTTATATAAAAAAAATTCTGTAAACAAAGGTATTACGTTTCAGTGAAAGTAAAAAAAAGTAAAAAACTGAATTTTGTTGTACAATGCACATCAGATAAACAAAAAAATGGCGTGCATATCTCAATACGGCTCGGAGATAAATCGATAAGCTTATAAATTTTGTCTTTTACATAATAAGCACGAAAAGGCTATGATTTGCTTTATTTACTTACTGATTTATTTATTTATTTACCCAACATTTGGCAACTTAGCTGAGTTCAAATTAGAAGTTGGTAAAAACCTTAACCGGTTAGCCAAGGGACATAGGTTAATTAACCGGCCGGTTAATATAAAAAATTCTAAAATTTCTTTGGGCTGCGAATTCACAGATTTGTAGATGGGAGATTATATTTCATGAATAGTGTTTTTTTAAAAAAAAAATTTACAAAAAAACTTCGAACTTGCGGAACACATGTCCACAATTGCGTAAGTTATTACATAACAAGAAATAAATTTATAGGGGAAGCTAGAAGCATAGCAGCAATATGTTGATCGTAAATATAAAAAACTTCTACACTTAAACAATTTCTTCATCCAAGTATTATTAATTTTGTTTGGAGATCAAATTTTCTATAATCGTATCTTTTTTCAAATTAGATTATTCATCATAACTATAAGTTTAATGTGACTGTAATTAATTAAAATGAAATATTTAGAATTTTCTTTTGCAGATAATTTTTTTTTTTTTTTACAAAAAAATGTGAATCTAATCAATAACATTGCGTTTATCAAATAAATAATGATCGACATACCCTTTTAATAAAATCGTGAATCAAACGTTTTCGATTATACTATATATAGTTAAGCAATATTGATTTGATTATTTTAATAATCCATTGCTATATTTTTTATATTTATTATTTTTAAAATTAATAATTGATAGAATTATGAAACCAATTAAAATTTGAAACTATTATAATTTGTTCCGTTTCAGGTTCCATAATATTTTGCATATTGTGTTACCAATCATCCCAATCATCTATACAGAATATCTTCACGTGAACAAATAAATATCCCGATCTATAAATTTCGGGATAAAAAATCATTTAATTTGAGAAAATGATCTGCATAGTATTTTAACCGACTAAATTAATCGGTTAATTAATCGGTTAATTTAGTCGGTTAATTTAGTCGATTAACCGTTTTTTGATACTTCTAACCGATTAACCGCCTTAACCGATTAATTAATCGATTAACGTTAATCGGTTCCAACCTCTACGCCAAACATTTGTAAGAAAATTTTTAAAACAATTCATTTATTCAAAAAAGTATTAATTTGATTAAATATACGGCTAATTTATTTAACCGGCCTGTTTATTCATACGGCTTATGTGGCTGAATCAAAATCAAATTGTACAATACGTGAATGGTGTATTAATAATATACCAATTGATATTTGACTTTCAAATATAGAAAAAAAAGAATCAAAAAATTCAAGAAAATTCCTTTGATTTCCAATTATAACTTACCATAAATAAAACAATTAAGCTGATTATTATTGTTGGTTTTTTACTCATTTAATATTATCTACTTGAATGATACATCTATATAAATTACATGCTGAATAAGAATAATCTCGAATTTAATTATAGTGTTGTTAAACGAAATGGGTAGGTCAAATGATGAATAATTAATTACTGATAAATTAATTACATATTTAAATTCTTTATTAAACAAAGAAATAATTTTTCTTTGTTCTTATGGTGTAACTTTTTTTGGAAAATCATTATAACCATAAATAGTAACACATATACAAATTAAATTAATTTGGATAAAAATATAAGATTAATTTATGAATCTTTTATCGATTTATATTATTATGAAACAACGCATATATTTTGTTTTAGCTTTATGAAGGGCTTTACGGTATTTCATTAAAAATGAAGATAATAAGATAATTGTTTCATGTAATGAATACAATTTTCCATGCCTGATGTCATATGAAAAATAGATTCAAATGTTTTTTCATATAATAAAGTTTAAGTATTCCTAAATAATTTTACAGATTATCTAATACAGATTTCGTTGTTTTCAGTATGAAAATGTGAAGACTGAGTTTCATTAAGTCTAGCATTTAAAGCGAATGAATCAAATTTGTCGTGATTCTAATCAAAGATTCACTTCCGTTGCTTGAAATGCTGTCCTCAGATAATTTTCACAAAGTTTATTATTTGAAAGATTCTATTAATAGGTCGAAAATATTCGAAACGACAAACAGGTCAACTATTTGACCTATTTATTGAAAGTATGAATGAAAAATATTTATATATTTACTTATCACTTAATTTCTATTACGCGACATAACGTTAATTTTAATGCAATATTTGTCAGAAATAGTTACCTTCGTATTCATTCATGAAACAAAAATCATCTAATCTAATTTTTCAATTATAACATGCTAATTAATCTTGTTTATCGTTCTAAATTTTATTACAATGATTCTTTCACCAATAAACTCTTGCATTTAATTAATTAGAATGAATATCGAAAAAAGAATTTTTTTTTTCTTTGCATGTGCCAATTTAAAAATATCATTCGTTCATCAATTAGTTAAGTTCACGTGAACTTCATGAGAATTTTTTGACGTAATCGCGTGATAGTTGATAGATTATTTTAAAGTTAGTAACACAAAATAATACAATTTATATACCTGTTTAAAAAAAAGTAGTTAATTCTATGGTGATGATTTTTTGACAGTTTGAAGATTCCTGCACATAACAATTTTTAAGCACTCACCCCATTACAACCTTCGCTAGAATGCTTCACTCATATGAAATGCACTATTACGGATGCTGATCATATTAATATATGATTTTAAATCCTACAGATTTCGTTTTAATAGTCTACAACTTAAAAAAAAAAAAAAAATTTTTGATAATTTTTTTTTTATTGAAAACATTGAAAACAGCAAAAGTATTTATTATACCATTACCACTATTAATTAAACGTAAATTTTTTCTTTTTTTTTGGAAAGTTAAAGAGACAAATTTTGGAACAAAATTTAGAAGAAATTTATCGATCTTTGTTACGCACGTATGATCAACAAAACAACAGCGTGATTAATTTAATTAAACTTGCATGTGTCACTAACAGTGAAGGCTTAAAAAACATATAAAAGTAGCTAAAAATTATCCATTAAGCTCAGAGCTGAACTCCTCTGTCCTCTTCCATTAAAAAAAAAAACTAAACATTTTTGTTAATTGTAAGTTTTCCATTTAATTTCCGATAAGTTTGTGTTTAAGAAATAAAATTGGTTTGTTTGTATTTTCATCTTGCGTGATGGAAATAACTTCCGTGCATAACGTAAATGTGATTGACTTAACCCCTCATATGTTTAATACGATATTAAGTCAAGTCTGTACTTTGTCCGCTCTCGCAGCACCACGTGATATTTGGTGACACACCCGATGTACACTGTATATTTTAGTTATTTGGTAAGGGCTGAGATGCAAAGCAATCTCGGATGATATAATATTCACCCAATAACTTGGTCATATAGATAAGATGGATCTGTAGATCCTCTCAGGAGTAATATTTCACTATAAATATACATATGAGTGTGAAGCGGACGCGAATTGAATATACAAACAAACCATTTATAAATCAATTTTTTAATGGCTTGTGTAACTTACCAAATTTTTTTTTTTTTTAGAATGCCTAAATATGTCTTCTCGACAAAATGAAAATGGGGAAGATTATATGGATTTTATTAAGAATGAGTCAAAAACAAAGTCGAATATTGACTTTGGAAAATGTTTAGATTGTGGGAAGGAACGAAGTAGCGTTGGATGGTGTAAAGATTGTGAAATTAATGCTCTAAAAAATAATTTTAAAAACTGGACGAGTGGAAATATTAATATGGATAATTTTATTAAACACACACAGTTGCACGCGAATGAAAGTGTGGATTACTTGGAATATGTTAATTTCGACCAATTTGATCTCATGGAAGACACAAATAAAGGAGGCGCATTTAGCACAATTTTTTCAGCAGTTTGGATGGAAGGTCCTAGATGGGTATGGGATGAAGAAGCTGAAAAATGGACACGTAATGGACCTGTAAAAGTTGCTCTTAAGAGACTTAACAATTCACAAAATATTAGTGAAGAATATTTTAAACAAGTAATATATAGTTTTAAAGTGTTTTATTTATCATTGAATATTTGAATTTTATGAGTTTATTTTAATTTACATAATTTTTTATAGCTTTATGAATCTCATCGAAGCTTACAAAGCGGAAATACTGCAGATTGTTATGGAATTACAAAAGATCATACATCAAAATACATGTTCGTAATGAGATATTATGAGAATGGAGATTTGCATTCATATCTTGATAAAGAACAAGGAATGCTGTGTTGGAGAGATATTGTAGATATGCTTTGGGGGATATCGGGTGGGATTGAAAATATTCACGAAAATGGATTAATTCATGGGTATCTTCATGGAGGTAATTTATTGGTTGAAAATGAACTAGGCTCAGTCAATATATGTATCGCGGATGTAGGATTACATGGTCCAATTGACAAAAAAGGTACCAATAAAATATATGGAGTTCTTCCTTATGTTGCTCCTGAAGTCTTGAAGGGAAATCTACCAACGATGGCTTCGGATATTTATAGTTTTGGAATTATTATGTGGACTCTTTCCGCGGGTACTCGTCCATGGTGCGATAGACCGCATGATCTCAGATTAGCTAATGAAATTTGCTTTGGTCTTCGCCCTGAAATTATTGATGGAACTCCAAAAGTTTATATTCAATTAATGACACAATGTTGGCATCCTGATCCTACAAAACGTCCTACTGCATCTAAATTGTCTGAATTATTAGGAAGCTGGACAATTGCTATTTGTGATGACCCAGAACCATCTGAATTATCTGACCAATTTAATATTGCTGAAGAGAAAAAATTCTCAGATTCAGAGCAAAATAAATTTCAACAACAAAAAATCCATCCCCAAGCTTTTTATACGAGCAGACTCTTGTATTTTCCTGAATTAATTAACATTTCGTCATAATGACGATTTGAAATTCCTTGCAAAAAGAAAATCTAATTCGACGACAATGATTATATTCAAACTTTTTCGTTTTCTTCATGAATATATAAGGTTATGATAAAAAATTTGTTTTATGATATAATATATAAAAAGATTATAATATGTATATAGATTATTCTCGTTTCAAAAAAGATTATAGAATATTTCGTTTCTTTTAGATGTTCATTAATTATAAGTAATTATTCGTATGATTCTTTATCTTCAATCGTATCTTTAAAATTTGAATCAATAGTATATGAGATTTTTAAACCCACTTTGTAAACTTTTATTTTTTAAGCTTTATTCTATTTATTTTAATATTTTTTTTTTTAATATAAAAAAATTTCATTGAGCCAACTTTTTTTATTTTTTTAATTATAACATCAAGATGTAACTTATTAATAAAAGATAAGTTAAATTTAAATATTTAAATATATGTAAATTTTATGAGAACCATATTAGAAAGCAAGTTTGATAATAATTTTTAAATTTCTGTTTTTTCAATAAGTTAACCAATATTAACTTTATTTTTTTTTTAACGTACAAAATAAGTATTAATTTTAGAGAATATCAAAATATTACCACTAGTGTTTTCACCAGTCTAATTTTTTGAATTTTATAAGATGAATATTAAATTAGAAAGCTGTTTTTCAGATAATTTTATCATTTTTAGAAAAATGCCAGAATTTTAATTTTTAATTTTTTTACTTTGTTTTTTGTTATTATAGTTAACATTAAAATCAATATTTGTTAATAGTATAAGACTAGTTTTCTCCCCATGTGATTTAACCCAGGTAACATCACCTACGTAAAATTAAATCATGTAGATTAGTTAGGGTTAGAGTTAGGGTTAGGGATTGGGTTAGGGTTAGGGTTAGGGTTAGGATTAGGGTTAGGATTAGGATTATGGTTAGGTGTTAGGATTAGGATAAGGTTTGGGTTCGCTGGAGTTATTAAATTTGATGATGTCATTTTAAAAATAAAATTTCCAGTTATAATAGTTATTTTTTAGTACAGGTGATGTCACCTAGGTGACATCTCCCAGAGAGAAAGTTAGCAAAATTCTTGTTAATATACTATTTGTTGATTAGTATTTTTAACTTTAGCCAAAATTATAAACCAGTATTTAACCAATTTGTAATTTTTCGCCAAAATTAAAGTGGTAAGATTACTGGTAGTGATAATTACCACTGGTGATACCTTTAATTATATTAGCATGAAATATAAATTACTATATGATATCATGTGTCATAACATTCCTATATGTCTTTATAGAAAAAAAATCCAGAAAATATACAGGTATGACTGAAAATATTCAGATGTAATAGAAAATATACTAGATTTTAAAATAACTGCTATTTCAAAATTTGGTATATTTACTGTTTATACTTAGATATTTTCTGTATATATCTAGATGCTTTACTATCAATGCCTGTTTTTTTGATAGTATATTGCAATCCTTTTATTATACTTACAGTCATATCAGACCTTCCTTACAACATACATATATCAAAAGACCTTGGCATGCAAACGGTTCCTCATTTGACTCCCCGGTCGCTGGTCCTAGTACTAAATAATTTTTTTAGTCTTTTATTTTTTTCTTTTTTTTATTATTTTTATAATGAGTCACTTTTTATTAGGATAGTTCCTTTTATATTTTCATGCATCTACACATTATACATCTACCTCAAATTTCTATGTTAATGTGTATTTACATGCATACTTTCAAAACAATTTAGAATAGTGTGAATCACTCCACTTATAACAGTACTATTGACAGGTGGCGGCTTAAATGCCGAAAGTAAAATATGGATCTTATTAATTTTTTTTTTTAGGGTTGTCTTATTTTTCTTTAGTTCGTCACGACATTGGTCATGCTTAATGTTATTTAGTTCATAAATAACGAGCAGGACGATCACTCTCGGGTGGTTGGACTTTCCATGTAGTTTAGGTTTTATTAGACTTTTAGTTTATGTTTTACCTTTATTTTGTAAAGTTCCCGTCGTGTCTATATTTTAAAAATAAAAATAAAAATAAAAAAATCATTATGATCGAAATTAATTTTCATTAATTTTCTCAAACTGACCCGTTCCCAGTCTATAAACTTCTGTTCTAGACTTCAGTTGTCCCTATAAAAATCTTCTGGAAAAACTCCGATAAATGATCATTTTCCTAGTTTTTATTCCGAAGAAACTTAGGCATGTGATCATTTCTCTGAAAAATTTTTTATAGGGTATGGTAACTGAATAAATTAAATTTGTTATCGACTTATTTTTTTTTATATTTTTTATATTTAAATTTTTGACATATGATATATAGGACATAAAAATGTTTATTTCATACATCTGTTATTCATATTATAACGCGGAACTTTTCCGTTTTTCGTTAAATACCCTATAAAAAATTTTTTTTGGATGTATTCCGATTTTTATCTGGTTTATGTATTCCGAAAATTTTCCGATTTTTATTTTCCGATTTTACTACGGAAAGTGATCAATTTTCGGAATGATAATTACAGATTTTACCCGAAATTGCTCGGTAAATTTTATGAATGTAACCGGAATATTGTCAGATGTTTTACAATATATATTATCAGAAAGTACTCAGAAAAAAAATTTATTGAATATTACAGATTACAAGTACTTTTTATTTATATTTATATTTTCTAGATATTATCTGAAAGTACTTATATATGAGTATATGAATAATAATATTCTATCTTTTTGCTTTCTTTGATTTTTGCGAGAAGCAATTTGGTTATTAGTTGTTTTTTTCTTTTGTTGAACTTGATCTCGTCATTATAGTTGAACTTTTATTGCCTCCTATATTTATTAAATTATAAATTGTAATATTATAAATATTATAAACACTAACAAAAAATAAATTTACCAGAATTTCTTGAATCCTCTTGTATTTGTGAAGTTACTAATTGAACATCAGCTCTTCTTTCAGTAAGAATTACATTTGAAGATGCTTCAATAATTGTTTAGAAGGAATTGATGCAGATTTCTCATTAATAACTTCGGGTGAGGACAATTGGACATTAATATCAATACTTGATGATGATTTATCAGGAATTGGTGCTCGTGAATTTGGCCTTGTTTTCTTGAGTTTTAGATTAGGGGAGTGATATTTTTTCGTTTGGAAGGTGGATCAATACCTTGTAAATGAGCTTCTTTAACTTTTCTCTTGTGTTCAGTTTCAGCTATAAAATTTATATTAATATCAGATAAAATTGTACATAATAATAACGTATTACTAAATAATTACCCTAATTTCCAACGATATCTTCAGTCATTTTTTGCAAAACAAAGTCAATAGGAAATGTTGGAAAATAGGTTTTAAACTAAATAACAGTTTAGAAAGTTAGTTAGGTTTAAGAATATGGATGATATAAATATATAACTTACATTATTAATGACATTTTGAATTTTACCCAAAGTTTGTTCTGATGCATATTTTCCTTTTTCACAAATAGCACTTAGCTTCAGTTATCACGAAGACTTCTCAAAATGTAAAATTAATACTTGCCCGATAAGTCCAATATGTATCATATGATAAATAGAGAAAATCTTTCCAGTCCTCTTTTGGTCATTTCATTTTTTCATTCTTCTTTGGTAATAGGATTTTGTATTAAACCACGTGGAAACTAACAATTACCGTATTATTAATATTACTAATATAATTTTATCACTAATCTTATATTTGAAACATTTTTTGTATTTAATTATAATGTCTGCTGTAGGAGTATTTGATGGTATAACAGTAGAAATAGGCGTTGGAGTTGGCGATCATCATATCATAGCAGCTTATTCTAAATTTGTTATAATATCTAAATAAAAGTAATATTATGGTAAATTCAGAATATTTAAAAATTTCAATAAATCTTTATCCTCGAACTACTACTCAAATAATATTGCTGTCTCTTATACACTTATATTTGTGTATAAGAGACAGGGGTTAGGGTTAGGGTTAGAAATAATATTNAAAAAAAAATAATAAGAATTAAGTTCTAAAAAGCAAAGATACGCTTTTATTTATACTTTTATACTTCAATGATCATTTATTGCGAGCTTATTTTTTCTATAGATTAAAACTAAACGCGTTTTTTAAACTTATATACATGTTTTTAAACGCGTCCACTTATATTGATAAACTTTTTAATTTAACTAATTTATTAAGTGATCTACATGAAATTGTTTTCCGAAGTATTTTCAATTTAAATATAAAACTGGATTATTTTCGGAATATTTCTAGAAATTTTCATTTATGTTAAATTCCTAAAATTTGACTAAAACAACATTCGCAATATAATCAGAATATTTTCAGTAATATTCGGAACATTTTCAAAACATTCGGAAAAAAATCGGAGTGTGCTGAATAAAAATTTTTTATAGGGATAATTAACTTAAAGTTTTAATTGATGAGACCGAAAATTATCAAATTAATCTTAATTTTTGTGTTAAAGATCCTTAAAGGTGAGAAATACATAATTAATTTCATAACAACACCCAAAATAAGATTTACCATAAATGTTAAAATTACGATTTAAGTTGTGACTTTGTGATTTTTATGAATAATGATAAAACGAAAAAAAAAGAATAAAACGAATTTTAGAAAAGGAATCTCTGGTGTAACGAATCGGCGGTTGAACGGATTACGAAATAATATTTTTCAATCAAGGCATATTCTTTTCCTCCTCAATTTATTAACGATTTTAATATTCTATTTATGCTAAAGATAAATTTGTACTACGATGTATTCCTTTTTAAAGTTCCGAAATATTTAACAGTCGACTATAATAGATAGCTCTTTCATGACATGGTAAAGTGTTAAAGTGCAATTGTTCTAAGCTTGAGAATTTAATTTCTTCGGCAACGTTAAATTGATTGGATAAATCCGATGGATCAGGATCGTCGCATATTGTTGTGACCCAATTTCCTAAACATTCGCAAAGTTGAGATGCTGTCGGTCTATTGGATGGATCAGCATCTAAACATTGTAACATTAATTTGGTGAAAACAGGTGGAGTTCCACTAACTATATTCGGTCTGGTTCCTGAACAAATCTCTTGTATAAGTTGTGAATCATGAGGTCTATCACAATAAGGGCGTACACCAGCTGATAACATCCACATGATCATGCCGAAGCTGTATATGTCAGACTCTTTAGTTAATGTGTATCCATTAAAGATTTCAGGAGCAACAAAAGGTATTACGCCGTAAATTTGTTTAGATATTTGTTTATCAACCCGACCGTGTAATCCTGTGTCTGCAATTTTAGCATCTATTGAATCCATTTCGCTATCCTCAACCAGTATGTTCCCTCCGTGTAAATTTCCATGAGTAAGATCGCGTTCATGAATAAAATTAAGACCAGCTGATATGGTCCATAATAGATCTATAATATCTCTCCAGCAAAGGACTCTTGTGGATTCATCAAGATACGAATATAAATTCCCATTTTCATAATATCTCATGACGAACATGTAACACGATGTCGGATCTTTAGTCATGCCAAAATAATCTGCAAGTGATCTACTTTGCAGGCATTTATAATATCTATATAACTTTTGGTTAAACAAATTCTTAGCCAATTAAATTTATAATTAAGTTTGACCAATAATGAAAATTTTCAGCCATTTGGCGTTTTTATTTACACACTTACTTGATTTACGAACTCTTGATTTATGTTCTGAGAATTATCTAATCGTTTTAGGATGACTTTGACTGGACCGTTACGAGTCCATACTTCAGCTTCTTCGTCCAGAATCCAGCTTGGGCCTTCCATCCATATTGCGGAATAAATTGAGCTAAAAACACCTCGTTTATTAGTATTCTTAACTAAATTGAATTGATTAAAATCAATCCACTCAAGGTACGTATTATCGTTTGTATTTAATTGAGTGTACTGGATGAATTCATCTATCATAGAGTTTCCGCTGGTCCAACTATTAAATTTTCCTTTCAAATTTGCAATATCGCAATTTTTGCACCATGCAGCGGAAGTTCGTTGCCTTTTACATTCTGGACAATTTCCATATGGTGCACTATTTATAGTGAAATCCTGAGATTCGAGGGTCGGATCGAATAAATGCATGACCTTCAGCTTTGTTTTTTTATTTTATTTTCTTTTTTTTTAAAAAAAATTGCTTTATACAATTATTTTTTTTTTCTTTCGAAATATATATGTATATATATAAGAGAGGCTCTGAAAGCCGCGACATCTTGCTTCAATCATATAGCATTTATATCAGATTTATTAGTTGCTTTGCCAGAAAAAAAAAAAAGGTTTAATCAATTTAATTAGTTTATTTGAATACAATAAGTTCGTACTTCATATTGTTTTATCGCCGTTTATAGGACAAATAAATCTGGTGTGATATTAAAAAAGGTGTAACATTGCAACGATTATTTAATAAGATTTGCCTCTTGCATGACACACAAGTAGTAGTGCACGAAAATTTCTGAAACCAGTAATAGGGATAATCTTAATACATAATGTATAAAATGCGAAATTACGTAATTATCTCTGAAAATATTTACATTAAACTACATTAACTATATTAACTTTGAAAAAAACAATCTTTAGGAATAATGCCCATGAAACCATTGAAATAATAGATTTTTTTTAACGTCAAGAATGCCCACGAAGTAATCGCATTTTGATCGCATTTTTTTACATGTGAATATTGAATGAATAAACAATACGCAAATAATGATTAATAATTTCCAAAGATTTCCAAATTCGATTATTTCATTTGTCAAAAATAAGATTTTCCGAAAATGCGACTAAAATTACTCAGTTTTTGATTAATTCTTGTACTTTGATATTTATTTTATACTTTATACTTACCCTTTTTTAGTAGCAAATACTACGTTTTAGCTAATATCTATGTTGATCTATTTAATCCATCTTATCTTGATATCTAAAAGTTTCACAGAAATCCGCATCACATTACATGAGCAGCGAAAAGAATATTGTATCTAAGATGTCGTGCTTCATTTTCATGAATTTATCGCAGCACAAAATTTAAAAAATTTATTACACGCGTCTCGGAAATAGTAAGATACGATAAGCGAGATACGAAATTATAAATTTTTTTTTTTTTGATTTTCAACTGTTACAATATAAGCTAGAAACGCTTTATTATTTAATTTATTATTTTTTTTTTTTGTTCACACACACAATTGAGTTCAAATTAATATTTCGAATAGTTTGGAAAATTTACGTGGCTGTTTTTTGCGTTTTTATCAAGAAAGGTGAAAAAATGAATTTAAATAAAGTACGACAAAATTATATATTGCTGAAGGAAATCATTTAATTACGTAAGCTCTGTAAAAATGTTATACCCGGTTTGCCGATCAAATAAAATCGATACAATATATATCGTAAGATCCGTATTTTTCTGTGTTCTATGAACATCCTTAATTTAATGTTTCGGGGGAATTCCAGAAAAAGAATTTTGTTAAATAAATATAAGATCCATATTTTTCTGTGTTATAAAGAATTTTGTTAAATAAATAATAAACAAATATTACAGACATAAAACTGAATCAAAGCTACTAGTACTATTAATGTTGTACACATGGGATCCATGCATAGCAGGAAAAAGTGGTTTATAGTATATGTTGCACGTAATTTGATTTTGTAGCCACAAGGCTTAGAATAGAGAATGAACGTAAAAAAAATAAAATAAATAAATTTCGTTATCCCGCTTAAACTTTCTACTAATTCGGTAATATTTCGGTAATTTCCAAATATTTGGTTAAAAAATCGATCGGCACGCATATTTCTATTGGCTCTACGTATTTTGGTTCATTCTACGCACGGTACTGATATATAATGATTGGACGCCAAGAAAAGAAACGTGCATTGTATCCCGGATTATCCCGATCACGGAATCATCCGATTGTAATTAGCGATTACAATGAGATAGTAGTTATATAATACTTTTTAACTCTATAGTAATCTTCCTAATTTCGACCTATAAGTTATTGCTGTATTACTTTCTGTATTAAAAGTTACCCTTTTGTATATAATTCTAACAAAAGTTACCGACGAAAAATTCATTTATTTATATTTACTTGCAAAGAATCTTATGCTGAAACATTATTGTCTTTATGGAACTGAAGTTTTTTGTGGCTCGATAAATCGATAAGTGATAACTCGTATTATTAATAGAATAACGGATTATTTTATTTATTTAGATATTTTTGATTTAGTACTATCTCGATATCATTTCACTGATCTAAAGAAAGCAATATAAAATTCCAACAGGAACTTCTATCCACTAAAAGAAAGGAAATACCGAAGGTATTAAAATTTTAAAAATTCATATTTGGATTTTTAATTATTGCATGAAATATTTTTACGTTACGCCCAAAATGGAACTTCAAAAAACAAATTCATTACCATTTACAG